TGTCAGATATCTGCACAGAGGCCGCAGATGCTATCAAGGGGGAGTGTACCATAGGATTCGTGCAACGAATGAAAGTAGTGGGCACTCCGACCGGACAGGAAGGCGATCTTGGTGGCAGACTGCAGATGCAGGGTGGTTAGACGGCCGTTCCGTTGTCTGTGCAAAGAGGAAGGGAAACCGTACACCGCAGAGAAACAAATCAAGGAACGAGCCTGGGACCCCCTTGATGATTGGTCCCTTAGGAAGCAATTGGATGAAAAGAATGAGAAGCCAAGGGATCTCGTGGTGTGTCAGTCATACCCGTCAAGAAGCTTGTATGATTCTAACATACCAACACAATGGCGAGAATTGGGAGCGAGATTATTCCCGAAGGATTGATTTCGAACTGCCCCGAGGGCACGGCCATGGCCAGAAAGATCATCTTAACGAGAGTGATTGCAAGAACGAGTGCAATTGCAAGAACGAAAGTAATTGACCACCACAAAGTCGCCTCAGACGTGCTATGGTCAGATCTATTTATCATGCATGGGCCATGGTCTCTCAGGACCCCTAGGCGAATCACGCTTGAACTAGCTGTACCGCTGTTGAGGCAAAGTTACTCTCCTGATCCCATCCGGCTAGATGCATCTACCGGTCTCAGTCCATGTTTCCGTTGCACAGGTTCCTCGGCCTGATTCTGACCCAGTTAATCAGATCAGACCAGAATGTATGCGTGATTCTTGACGATCATGATTGGGCGCGTGGTTTGAGTTCCTGACGATAGATCGAACCCGGGTCAGGGTTAAGAGTGGATCTGCCCCATTTTTGGGGATCCTCGGGCCCAAAGTTTATGCTTGCCCCTGCGGCAGTCGCATCCGCTCTCATCTACCAGAAACATCGTATACTCTGACTTGTCGCGGTTTCAGGTCCATATAAGGGCCTCAACGCCAAAATGTCAGACCGTTGTCCAAGCACGGTCAATGTCCGAACGCGAATGTTTCACCATTTTCCATTTTTCGCGATAGATCTTTCTGGGGCCATTCCACCAATTGGTGTTCCCCACTTTTCCCTCCAAATTGCTCGTCCCCTTTTCTGCCATTCTGGTGACAATTCAGTTATATAAGCTCTTCGTGTGACAAGTCCTTACCTCTCCTCTTCTGTACTTCAAGTCTGTCACTTTCATTCAGACAGATTCTTTCTTGCCGACTATGGCAGACGAGCGCACCCGGGTCCTCTTCCTGGCAAACAGCGAACATGGTCAAACAAACATCATCCTCGCCATTACTCATGAGCTTCTTGTTCAAGGCAATGTTGATGTTCATATTGGCTCATTCCCTGTCCTTGAACGCCGGGTTGAGAAGCTGGTAGCTGACAATGCTGCTGCATACGACGAGGACTTCCGATCTCGCATCCACTTTCACCCGGTGAGAGGCCCCTCGAACACCGATGTCTTCATCCGGACCGGAAAGAGGGGTGCGTTTCATCCTCCCGGCTACCATGGTGCAGTCTTAGGGTTCCAGTCTCTGTGCGAAGACATCTGGGGCTGGACCGAGGACGAGTATGTCGACATTTATGAAAGCTGCGTCGAGATCATCAAGGAAGTGAAGCCGGATGCGATAGCAGTCGACTTTTTCTTCCTTCAAGGCCGAGACGCTGCGTACAATGCCGGCCACACGGCCATTCTTATCAACACGACGTCAATCAGTCACATTGTCCTGGGCATGCAACCCAATTCTGCGGCTCTCTGGAAGTATCCTCTGTATGTACTGCCAACCATGCTAGCCTCGGACCGACATTAACAAAAGTTCCAGACCTGGCACTGGGTTCGCTTATCCCATCCCATGGCATACAGTGCCCCTCAATGCCCTTGCCGTGCTGAAGACGGCGAAAATGTACCACGGCAGTGGCAGACGTCGTGAAATCAGAGAATGGCGCATCAAGCATAAGATCCATGGCAGGTTCCCCTTCGCAGATGCATGGCGGCCCGATCGATTTCACATTTCACCAGGCTTGTTGGAGCTGGATTGGCCATTCAGTGTTATGCCCGATAACATTCTGCCGTGTGGGCCAATTCTGCTGCCAACTGCATCGGTGCAGAAGCAGGACCCGGAGATGGCGCGCTGGCTCGCGAATGCTCCGACTATTTTGGTCAATCTAGGTACCTTGTATGCTCCTGATCCCAAGGTTGCGGAGGAGATTGCCACTGGTCTGAAGATGTTTCTCGATGGCTGGAAAGGTGAGAAAGTCCAGATTCTCTGGAAACTGCCCAAGCATCCGCACGACGTAGACGACATCTACGGTCGGTCGATCGAGCCACTGAAGCGGGAGATGGAGGAGGATTCAGTCCGCGTTCGCGCTTGGTTTGAGGTCGAGCCGATGGCGATGCTCGAGACAGGTGGGGTAGTCTGCTCAGTCCATCACGGAGGTGCCAACTCATGGTACGAGGCCATTCAGTAAGTTTCCTTGCCCTTGATCCCCGAGAACTGTGACTGACCTCTCTAGAAACGGTGTTCCTCATGTTGTGCTTCCAGCCTGGCAAGACTGCTACGAGAACGCAGCTCGAGCTGAATGGCTTGGTATTGGTGTCTATGGCAACAAGAGCCGTGCGCCCAATATCAGCGCGAAGGAGTTGAGCAAGGCACTCTTGAAAGTCATGAACAACAAGTCATATAGAGAAAAGGCGAGCGAGCTTGCCAAGCTTTGCCATAGGAAGGAGGGACGAGTTGCAGCGGCGGAAAAAGTCCTGGAGATTGCGCAGTCTCGTGACCATGGCAAGCTCGCCATGCGCTTACCGGAAATGAAAACCAACTGTCCTTTGTACGAAGTCAAGAACCGCCAGGGTATGGTTCTCCAGACTGCCCAGAAGCCTACAACAGCAGGCAAGGGAGATTCGAAGTATGTCTGATCGAAGCCTCGCCCTCCTCCCCCCCCCCCCCCCTTTTGCCCTCGCTTCGAATTACAATAAAGCTAACCATCGTTCCAGACCTCTCCTCACGGATGTTTACGAGACTCTCCTTATGACTATTCTGAGCAACACCTGGCTTTTCTTCCCGGTGTTAGGCTACTCTCTTCTACTTATCCCTCGCCTTCGTCTATTCGCTCTTGTATATATCCTCTACATCAAATTCATCTCGAAGGCCCACAAAACCGGCACTCTATCACTGCGCAACGACCGATTCCGTCACTCCTCCATCTGGAAGACAACCTACGCCAACTACTTCCCACTAACCCTGTACCGTACCGTGCCTCTTCCACCGCAAAGACGCTATATCTTCGGCTACCATCCTCATGGGATCGCTCTCCGCGGCGCCATCGGTGCCTTTGCCGCTGAGGCAGCCGACTTCTCCCAACTCTTCCCGGGGATCACCAACACACTCCTCATGAAGGACAGCTTTTACACCACTCCTCTCCTTCGCGAATACCTTTTGTCACTTGGGACAAGCGGTGTGTCGCGCTCCTCATGTATCCGACACCTGACCCGCGGCGGCCACGACGACCGCGGGATGGGTCGCGCCATCACCATCACCGTGGGCGGGAGTCGGGAGTACAACATCGCGAAGCCCGGAACCATGGGTGTGGTGGTGAAGATCCGCAAGGGATTTGTGCGGGTGGCGGTGCAAACGGGTGCGGATCTTGTGCCTGTCATCGCGTTCGGTGAGAATGAGCTCTTTGATCGCGTGGACGTGAACATTTCAACTGCGCTGGGGCTGGTGGCGCGAGCCTGGGAGTTCGCGGTGGGCCATCGCGTGGCATTTTCGACCGGTCGGTTTGGACTCTTCTGTCCGCATCGGAGGCCCTTGAACGTTGTGGTTGGCAAGCCGATCGAGGTGAAGCAGCAGCGGTGGGAGCCAGATGAGGCGTATATTGACGAGGTCCACGCTCAGTATGTCAGGGAACTGGGGAAGCTGTATGATGATTGGAAGGAGACGTTTGCGCCGAACAAGGATGTGAACTTCGAAGTCGTGGAGTAATTCTGAGGTTATTGGAGTTAATCGGTTTGATTTGGGACTTGGGATAGCTCGGATATGGCATTGTCACTTTATACCAGGAGTAGACTTTAGAGTTGAATACTGAACGGCTCAGGAAGCTGAATATAACTTTGCAAATGAAAGAACTTTAAGCAAGTAGGTTGTATGGTAGACCGAAGAAGTTCCATACCCATGCCGCCGGAGTCCTACAGTGGCTTAGGCTTTTTACCGCATAGAAGACGCCACCCTCGGCCCGCTGCACTCCCTCTCAACCTTTCCTTCTCGCAACAGCCTCTCCCTCCACAAACTCGTTTATTGTCCACGACACGGCCTCCAGCAACCACCAAAACCACCTTCAGAAGCAGAGAATGCATGACCCTGACTACGTACAATTTATCTCATCAAATCTAAATCTATGGGATATGCATCTCACTGACAAGACGATTCTGGCTGTAGCTACGTCACACCAGACCACGAACCCATGCCCAAAGAGCCAGCATCCCTTGCTTCCAATATTCCCGAAAGAGTGCAGATCCCTCGGCACAAACGCGCATTATGGCCGATGCTCATACACAAATCGTGCACAAATCTACGTTATGCACGGCCGTCTGAGATGATCTTCTGACAACTCACCGATAATGCATGAAGCAGCTCTCCCCAGAGTCACCATGCATTCCTGCGCGTTCACCGCAGACCCCTAGATCGATTGACAGCCGACCTATCCGACTGGAAGATGGGATATTGGCCAGTCAATGAGCTATATAAGAATGACCGAGACATCTCTTCTCTCACGTCTCTCTGCTGTTGCTAGAGGGAGTTGAATTACCTTGTATCGCCGCGCTACAATCAGTCTATACCGGTGGTACACAGAGTCTTTATTGCGTTATCAACCCTCGGTATTCAGTTTACGCTGGTCACGCATCACAAGGTATTTGAACTTACCGACAATTATCTCGTTCGCAAATCCTGGACTTTTATCGGAACACCGAGCAAGGATCCTCAGGCACTTTTGTGTAGATTAAGGGAAGTCGGACTTCGCTCCGCTGTTCAGCCATGGACTCTCTACAGGCCAATAGAGAAGTCCACAATCAGAACCTTCTGGTTGCGCCCTTCTCTCATTGGTCCTTTTCGCATACTTTCTCCGTGGGTATCTCTCGGTGATTGAGCTTCTTCCTCGACTGACTAGGTTTTCCCAGGCTATCTTCTATATTATCGGGATACTTACCGGAGCCAAACTTGTATACAATGTCTATTTGCATCCGCTTCGATCTCATCCCGGGCCAATACTTGCTAGAGCAACAAGGCTCTACATAGTGCTCCTCGAGCTCCAGGGATGCCTCCATCTTCGAATCAAGGAATGGCACGACCAGTACGGCGAGGTGGTCCGCATCGCGCCCGACAGCTTGTCATACAATTCCAGTCAGGCCTGGAACGAGATTTGCGGTATGTCTGGTTCAGTCGCATAGCCCGCCTGTTCATCTCTCACACTGCGTTAGGCCACCGAACTCGCGATACCAAAGCTGTCTTTGAGAAAGATCAAACCTTTTTTACCCGTCCACCAAACGGGCAGTGGAGTGTCGTACGTCTATCTCTGGTCTCCTTTATGACTCCTGCTCTAACCACTGTGGAGAATTTCTGCAATGCAGGTAGCAGCCAACGGCGACTACCACCGACGTCTTCGACGTCTCCTATCGCATGCATTTTCCGAGAAGGCTCTTCGCGCCCAAGAGCCAGCCCTTCAACACTATGTCGACCTTCTCATTCGCCAACTCCATCACCGCGCTGATCGAGCCGGAGGTGGTGTGGTGGACATGGTCCAATGGTTCAATTTTACGACGTTCGACATTATCGGCGACCTAGCCTTCGGGGACACGTTTGGTCTACTGGATAAGGGCGTTTGGTCTCGCTACCTCGCCGCCATAACCGGACTGATGGACGTACTGGTTTACTTCCGCGCCGCCAAGTATCTGTTGCCGTCTCCGTGGAGCCTTTGGGCGGCTTCGCTCTGGGCACCGAGACACCTTCAGCAGGACCGTATATACATACATCAATTGGCAAAGGGCAAGCTGTCCCGTCGAGTTGAGCACAACACGGAACGACAGGACTTTGGTGCGTGAGCTGCACTCTTTCTCCTGACCTCACGCTAATATAGGCTCCAACAGTCCACTACATGCTCAAAGGCTCTCGCTCGGCCATAGGTCCCGAGGGCCTGAGCTTCGAAGAGATGGTCACGCAAGGCCAGACTCTTATCATCGCGGGCAGCGAAACCACCGCCACCGTTCTCTCGGGCATGATGTATTATCTCCTCACCACCCCACGCGCATTGTCGCGGGTGACACAGGAGATTCGTGCGGCTTTTTCCAACGAGCGGGACATCACCGTCCACCGCGCCGCCCAGCTCCCGTATCTCCACGCTGTGCTCGAGGAATCGCTTCGCATGTATCCTCCCGTGCCCGGCATATTGCCCCGGGTCACCCCGGCCCCGGGACAACTAATCTGCGGTCGGTTTGTCCCCGCGGGAACGTCCGTTGGTCTCCACCACTGGGCGTGCTACCGATCAACGCGTAACTTCAGCGACCCGGACACGTTCTGGCCGGAGCGATGGATGGCCGGCGAGGATGATGCGCGTTTTGCGAAAGATGATCGCGGGGCGTTTCATCCATTCTCTTACGGGCCCAGGAATTGCCTGGGAAGGAAGTAGGTGCCACCTGCTTCGATTCGTTTGATAGAGGGAGGTTCTAACGAAAGCTTAGTCTTGCGTATGCGGAGCTGCAGTTGATCGTGAGCAAATTGTTCTGGAACTTCGATGCGGAGTTGATGCCGGGAGGGGAAGGGTGGGCCAATCAGCGGACTACATCGCTTTGGATGAAGAAGGCGTTGCCTGTGCGGTTAATTCCGCGGCAATACGAGGTCTGAGCTGAGGTCGAGGGGGGATGATTATCAGTAAGCTAGCGCTGGGTCGTGGGTCGGTAGTGACACTGAGCATGATTGTAGTTTCTACTATTCCATTCACGTACTTGGACCGTCCGTCCATGGTATCTACAGCGTACAGAATACCTCTGTACGTGTACCTATACCTATCCCATACCCACGAGCACATAGACCCTTCTCTCGACCCAACCTAGGCGAAATCCGATCGGCCCAAGCCAGGCATCATCTCATGCATGAAATCTGTCCGGTACTATAGAACCCCTCCCGTGACTTTCGGCCACCCCGAAACCCTACCCGATCAGAACTCGGGAAAGAGTAGCCGAGATGCGCCGGCCAGCAGCCTCGCCCAGACTGACTAGCAAGAGCATCAGCAATAGCATCAGCCTCAGCCTCAGACACTGGTACCCTGTACAATCCATGCCACGTCATATCTTCAGTCGAATCCGCCGTACCTACCACTTCCACATGATTCAGGCAAAATTCAAGACCAACCAGCGTATCTCACATAATCTCCCGAATTGAGTTGACTGGCATATGGATTGACTCTCTATTAAGTGAACTAAGACTTTCTCCCGGGAAAATTGATTCTAAAACTAAATTTTAATCCCGAGGGACCGATGGACCGATTGATCACCGGATAAACCTCCTGCCTGTCAATTGAGCGGATGTATGCTGGTGGGGAGATTACTGCCGACAAACTTGCTATTTTCAGAGAACCTACCCCGAAACCCCACTGCTATTGTTCCAACTATAGCCTCGATATCTATCGTATATAGTATACTCATGTGATATGAGAAGTAAAAATGTGAATGAGCTATGTAGTTTATAGTTAATCTGGCCGCACTCTTGAAGCATACTCATCCATAGAACAAAAAGCAGTCGGTCGGGAACAACGACAACAAACCAAACCAAACACAGACAACCACACGACTTGTCACCAGAGTCACCAGGTAAAACTACACCACCATACTGCAAACCACGATTCAGCACGCCACATCCCTCAAGATCAGGTAAGCGATCCCGTCGAGTGCCCACGGCACTTCACACCGCCACCAGACCAGAACCTACTACTAGTACCTAGCAAAATCATCCCACAATGCTTGGCTCGGGTAAAATCGACGAAGAGCATCGCCCACCTACCCATAAGGTGTAAAAATAACAACAAGGCTGAACTCCCTCCCTTCACTTCTCACTATCCCACTAACTACCAGGGACAATAAACAACGTGGCTTAGGCCGGACTAGACAGCAAACACCCAAACACTAGTCCCATCCCATTGCACACAGACACAAAAGTGGATCGCGAGAAAGAGCCGCGCCCTCAGCTCTGCTTGTAGTACGGAGTACTGTACTGTCCGTTGCCGGGGCAGATTACCACCAAAGCAATCGCTAATTCATACTAGTGAGTGTGTGCATCACAGCCTCGTGTACTCCGTACTCCGTGTATGGTAGGTACTGTTCACCGACAAATCCTGCTTCATTCCAAAAGTTCCATGGCGGGAAGGCGTCAGAGCTTGATGCTCGAAGCTTTTTCTTTCTCGGTGGTTTTAGCCTTTTTGTTCGTTTCTGACTGCCGCATCACCGGCAAGAATTTCCTTTCTTCGGCAGGCTGGAAAAGGAAAAGGTCCAGAACATGGTTACTTCTACAGTACACAACCCCTGAGTTGTCATTTCTGTGGATGTATCAGGGCAAAAAATAAGGTGGAGGGGAATCAAGGCTAATATCGCCGTCTTCGTCCGAAATACCGTATCTACCTACGAATTGTAAAACTAAGAGTGGTGCTTACTTACTTGCTTGCTCTCTGCCCGGAATGGGGCCGCGCTGAGTGAGCGAGCATTTCTCACCTGGCTTCTGCCCTGCCCTAATTCGCATTCCCGGATCATGATCACGGAAAGCGCGATACCTAGACATAAACACCATACTCCGTACTCCGTATAGCGTGATCATCACAGGATCCCGAGGCTGTGTCTGTTCGCTCTACTTCATCCGGTAGATAGGTATCTAGTCTATTCCAATCCGGTTACGTTGAAATATACCTACAACCTAAACGAACCACAAGGCAACAAACAATCCCTGCAGAAAATAAGGCCCACGCTATCTCATGTCATCAGCACCCACCACCACCACCACCATCATCACCATCATCGCGCATGATTTCCCCGAATCGGCAGATCCAATCGGCTACTGCGGCCATCTTGTCAGCGCTAGCAGTGCCCAAAACATTCCCCATGAACCCACTTTTCCACTCAGCCATGCTCTTGGGTCTGGACAGCTTAATGATGGCAGAGGTGGGGTTGTTTTCGTATTGCTCTGGGGCCGGGCTGGGACCTCTCTGCTGAGCGTTAAACATGGTGAGGCAGACACGGGGGGGGGGGAGCAATAAGCTATGACTAGGTTAAATACTCTCTCCGGCCTGCAGGGTCTTTGGATGACTTGCTATTTGCTTTTTTGCTCTTCCCGTTGCACCAGTGGTTCCTTTAAACGATAATCAGCAGATTACGGACTTGCATCTGTTGATTCACATCTGATAACCCCCCTTTTTTAACAATCCTCTTCACAATCGTACTATATTCTTCTTTCCTCGGCGGGCTACTTCCGACCCCGGCTCAGCAGCAGCCATGAAGAAGGACGACCTAGAGTTCCAACGCCTACACGAAAAGCCCGAGACCGCATCGACCACCGAGGACTTCAAGACCCTCTTCCCCGTTACAGATCTCTCGCGTGGGCTCGTGGGGTGGGATAGCCAGGATGACCCGGCCAACCCCCAGAACTTCCCCGCCTCCAAGAAGTGGACCCTGCTGGCGCTCATCAGCTCCATCACCTTCATCTCGCCGCTCGCGTCGAGCATGTTCTCCCCGGCGATCGAGTTCGTGGCCAAGGAGTTCATGGTCACCAACGAGACCTTGCTCTCCTTCAGCGTGACCATCTTCCTGCTCGGGTTTGTGGTATGTAGGATGCTTTTGACCCCCCTCGGATGCACTCAGAAAACTGATCCATTCCAGTTCGGCCCTCTGCTACTCGCCCCGCTCAGTGAGATCTACGGCCGTCGGGTCGTCCTCAGCGGCGCGAATTGGTTCTTCGTCGTCTGGCAGATCGGCTGCGCCCGCGCCCCCAATATGACCACCCTCATCGTGTCGCGCTTTTTCACCGGCATCGGCGGCTCAGGCTGCGTGACTCTGGGCGCCGGAGTCATCGCGGACTTGTTCCCAACCGAGCTGCGCGGTCGGGCCACCGCCATCTGGGCCATGGGGCCTCTCGTGGGGCCCATCATTGGCCCCATCTGTGGTGGCTTCGTCGGTGAGACAATCGGCTGGCGCTGGGTCTTCTACCTCCTGATTATCAGCGGTGCGGTTATTTCGGCCGGGATCGAGGTCCTGAACCAGGAGACGTATGCGCCGCTGCTGATCCGATGGAAGACGGCGCGGCTGGCCAAGGAGCTGGATCGGGTCGACCTTCGCAGCGTCTACGACGTAACCGGCAGTATGCACCAGGCACCGCCCTCGGCCCGCCGTGTTCTGGCGCAGGGACTCAAACGGCCCGTGGTGCTGTTCTGCAAATCGCCCATTGTGCTCCTTCTTTCCGTGTATATCGCTTTCGTGTACAGTCTGCTGTATCTGTTCTTCACCACCGTGACCTCCGTCTTCGAGGAGCGGTATGGCTTCTCGACCGGTCTCGCGGGCCTCGCGTACATTGGCATCGGCGTCGGGTTCTTCATCGGCCTGTTGACGGTATCACTGACCAACGATCGCATGGTCATCAAGCTGACCGCTCAGAACGGCGGCAAGTTCGAGCCCGAGATGCGTCTGCCGCTGATGATCATCTTCAGCTGCATCATCCCCACCACCTTCTTCTGGTACGGCTGGTCGGCCGAGAACGCGCAGAAGGTCCACTGGATCGTCCCCATCATCGGCATGATTCCCTTCGGCGTGGGCATGCTCGGCATCTGGATGCCCGTCCAGACCTATGTCATTGACGCATACCCGGCCTATGCGGCCTCCGCGAACGCCACCATGACGGCCTCGAGATCGCTGATGGGCGCTTTGTTACCTCTGGCGGGCCCTACCATGTTCCGCAACATGGGCATCGGATGGGGTAACTCGCTGTTGGGGTTCCTGGCCTTGGCCTTTGTGCCGGTCCCGTTGCTGTTCAACCGATACGGCAAGATGATCCGCGAGAGGTTTCCGGTTGACTTGGATTGATGAGCCGTGGCCACAAAGACGATGTAATGACCTGCTTAACATGTTTTGATAGACTTCCGTTGTTCCCATATAGAATAGATTCGACTTATTAATACCATTCGTTCTTCGATCACAGGACCTCATACACAATAGACTGCAGGTCAACCCCCGTCAAAATACTGGGGTAGCTTCGAATGACATCAGGGGTGAGTCCCCATCCCTCGATGGTCATGAACGTCTCGTAGAAGCTGCGTCTGATACGGAGTTGATCTTGGTCGTCGCGTTCGAGGATACTCTCGCCCCACGGCCAGCGAACTTTCAGACAACAGGCCAGAAACCCGAAGAGATCGTCACGCTGACCCTCGTAGATGTGCCAACGACGGATCAGATTGGACCGGATTTGCGGCCAGATCATGAGGTCGATCGACCCAAGGTGGGGAATGTTTATCTGGTCAGGGTTCGGGTGCATGAAGGTCGGCAGCCGAGCGAATCGGCTGGGACTGGGAGAGTACATCCATTTGAGGAGGTGGTAGGCTAGCCACCCACAGGCCAGGCGCTCGGGGTCGCGCAGCGGCCGTCGCTTCGTGGTGCGGTAGACTAGGTCTGCTAGGACGTTGGTCTTGGAGCCGTACAGGAGATCCAGCGGAGAGGCGGGGGAGTCCGGGGATGCTCTGATCTGCTCCTGGTAAGCCACCCAAGTCATGTAAGGGGCTGACGGGTCGTCGTTGGTGAGTGGGATACGTCTCCAAGGCGGCTCTGGTGGGTTTGTCGAGTCGTGAGTGTAATTGATAGTAGCTGCGAATGGCGGCAGCGGTGGCAGGATTGGAGCGATCGGCGGGATGGGTAGAGTTCTTCTACTAGCTTCCAAGGGGTCTATCAAACTGCGAGAAACTGCTATCGGCGGTGGTGGCGATAGTATAGGAGGACGCTGGTTCTCGACTTCGGGCGCCTCGGGGCTATAAGCCGGTCCGGTGAGAGCTTCCGGAGACGTCAGCGCATCGATGTCCCAGGATTGCAGGAGACTTTTCAGCTGTCGTTGACGTGCAAGAATAAATGCATTCTGCCTCCGGAGAGTCTCTATCTCTTCAGATCGTTGTTGGGCGCCTTCATCGGTGTGGTGTTGCCGACAATGAGCGACCTGCTCTTCGAGCCGTGCGATGCGATCTTCGAGGTGACTGAGATACTGCAACTTTTTACTTCGAGAATTCTGCTGCGCCCGTCGATCGCGGAGGCGCTTTTTCTCCGCCGAGCTCAGATGACCGTGATCCGACATTTGAGCCACATTCTTCGAAGAATTGATCGGACGTGTCTGACTGGCATTGAGGTCGAGACGAAGGTGGAAGGTGATCATCCGTGGTAGCCCAAGTTATGCAGCCAATCGGTGTATAAGTCACGTGCTCTGTTTTATGCTCGAGTTTTGAGAATTATGCACGTTGAGCAATCTATAGGAAAAGGTAACTTCACTCAATTGGCTTCCGTTAAGTGGATAAAATCGAAGAAATGTACTGTAATCACTTGACAAGGTGTCGGTTGATGATATCTTGAGAGGTGACCCTCAGCATTGAAGATCGAATTTCATACCCAAGACTAACCCATCAATTACAAGATAGGCTCCCTGGTTGATAGGATGTCTTTGTTTGTAACTGAATGCGCTATTGGCCAATAGTGAGAGATGAAGGGCCCGATATATCGATAAATCGGGCATGACTTTAGATGAGCCTATTCAAGTCTGGTAAGGCTGTCAGGCGTTAACGCAGGGCAAGGTCTGGAGCTCCATGTACACATCTACATGGTTCCAGATTCTAAATTGCCATACTGTACTGATATGTCCCACTCCTACTCCAAGTGGCAGCACTTTCGCTCTCCTTCCGGCTGAACTGCTCCCTACGCCTAGGCGCCTTACCAATCCTCCTGCCAGTACATCACTACGATCCTGGATACTTCACGGGTGCATCCACGCAGTAGAGGAGACGCATTGAGCCGCCGGTGCCACTACGACCAAGCTTGTCGGCGCGCGAGAAGCCATGCTTCGTACATCAGCATGGCATCTCCGACCGCGAGTAGCATTCCTCCCCCAGCATAGCCACCAGTATCCCCTAGCGCATGCCGTGCTCTCGCCATTGTCTTCCCTTTGTGTTCTATTCGTCACGATTCGACATAAGCTCTCGGGAGCGAATAGCCGAGTTCGCGGGTGCTATCGAGGGGTTGTGCGGTTTGGAATGGATCCTCGATCATCGGGCGGATACATCTGGACCAACCGGTCAAATTGTGCTGTTTCTGTCCAGGTCTCGGTCGAGGTTTGATGTTGATTGAGGTTCGAAATCGGTGTTGGGAAACGGAGCCGAGGTTGCTGGCGTAGCATTGGTAGCGTTAACCGCGCGGACAGGCTTGGAGAGTAGTCGATGATGAGCGGGAAAGAGGGAAGGCCATAGAGTCAGAGCATCGAGCTTGATTGGCTTGGGTCTTTGCGGTAAGCAAGTTGAAGAACGTGGCACGGGCGGACAAAAGATGGAGATGTGGGTGATGGCAGACGACAGGTGGACCGCGGGGAAGATGTCCAAGTCAGTGATGCCTAAGGCATTAATATGCCACGTGATTTTGGTAAAGTCCCATATCTCAAACTGCTTAAGAGGGAATTATCTTGATCAGTTGTGTAGATAGGTCTGAGTAGCAATAGGTCTAGTATAGAGCATAAAGCAGGTCCTGCAAGATGGCCGAGATTGAATAGCTTCTATTGAGCGAGTTGTTTTCGATACCCCGACTTGCAGAGACCTCCGGCATTGAGATATATACCTCGTCTGAGCAGTTTTGAGGTAGCTCCCTTAGAGATCAGAGCAAGCTCTCCGACTAATGTCAAGTACTACGCACGGTATTGACCATAAGTCGTTTTATTTATCACACTTCCAATAGCTGTCTACAGCTACATTCAAACCCAAGTGCAATTCACATGGAATTCTATCAATAATAATCCCTCAGGCAACCTCCCCAATCAACACCCGGCAAACCTTCTCCGCCTGGCAGCCCCTCCAACCCCAAATACACAGGCCCGTATCGAACCCGTCACAGCCATACAGCACCCCTGTACCGCCCAATACAGCCTACGGAGTACTACCCATCAATACCCGGACTCGGCACGACTGAAGAACAGACAAGACAGACCAGCAACCACAAAATGGGGTTCTCTGTCCATGATTCATCACACCTGGAATCCAATTTACCCGTCCACCGACGGGCCAGGAGAACTGATGGTCCGTATCAGAACACTTAAGTTACCTTTCCAGCAGGGACGTGAGGTATTCCGTCGTAATAGACTCTTCCACCTCACGAACCTCACCACCCCCTGCAATGCAATGATAAAGGCCTGCTTACTGTATTCCGTATATCTCACCCCATTATCCACAGCCTGTAGCAAGGATTAGAGAAAAAGGACAGAAACCTCTCACATCCCTGCCCATCCCAGCCGGCGAAGGACCTGTAAGATGGAGGAGAAACCGGCGTATTACCGCGGTTAAGTGGGAAAGTTTGTCCGTTGATCGGACCGGAGTGATTCACATGACAAACCTGGTTCTGGGCTTGACAGCCGCCGTAATTAAACTAGAGGAGAGTGGTTTGTGGTGGCTGCATGCATCTAATCCATGCATCCGTGCATGAGAGAGAGGAAAAGTTTTTCTTGCGAGGATGACGACTTTTGAGATTCATCAAGTTCAAAAGGCATTTGGCATGAATATCTTCTAGGCAATTGATGAGGGTGATTAAGGAATGGATGGATAGATGGATGTTGGATGTATCATAATTGATCCCTGTTACTCTGGGCTTGAAGGTCGTAAGTGGCTAGCGAGGGAGTATCGTACAGTACATACGGTAAGTTGGTGCTGGTGCTGGCACTGGTGGGCGAAGGATCCTTCTACACTACCACCCACCCCCCCGATACACGCGCACACAGCAATTGCGAAGTCTGGGGAATGGGTGGACAGAGTTAAGTGAAGAAAGACGGGTGGGAAGACTATATACAGAGTTAGGAGAGTGGGAACCGCAATTGAGTGTTTAGAGTATTGATTGAGATCTGATGGTGATTGATAACGATCTCCGTAGGAGCCAGTGCCAGCTAGCTTGGACGTCGGCCGCCCCCTCTCCCCGGAAGAACAGGAAAGGGAAGGGGGAGAAGGCAGCCTGGAGGTTCATCCGTTTTCGACAGCTGGCATCAATCCGTCTTCTTCCACACGCACCCACCACGGGGAGGAGGGAGCCTGGAGAGAGCTCTGACCTTCTCTAAATTCCGTCATACCGTAAACGACTTGTCAGTGGTTCTGATCACTACAATTCGATGGATGCTCAAGAGCTCTCTGTTTTGTGCTAAACTGGAACCACTCCAGACTCAAGCTCAAGCTCAAGCTCTTTCTTCTTTTCTTTTTTTACCCCAGAATATGGGGGTTTGTCGGTGATTCTACGTTGTCCCTGTTCTGGATCGTCCTCACCATCGATCGTCTACTTGGCTCCCTCAAGACAGCACAGCGAGTTTTAAAGGCTCAGAAGGATGGGTTTAGAGTGGCCATTTTAACTCTATATGTACAGTGTATATTGGTTGCATGTTGTAGGCGACGACCTGAGGAGGAAAAAGGAAATAGGGAGTAGTACATGATATATAAAAAGACCACCACAAAAAGATCAACCTCCTAGAAAGAAAGAGAAGTGTCTGTATGGAGAAAAATCCAGTCGTTCTCAATTCTTTTGGGAAAGATGAAAAAAACATAAGTAAGGTAAAAATGGAACGAAGAGAAGATAACCGGTTTACCGGACGAGCACGCTCATTAAACCGATTGTTTCATTTGTGGAATTGTTGTACAAGTGATCCAGAAAAAGCTTCGTAGATTTTGTGAGAGTCTTTTTGTGAAATTGGTTTCGTCATCATCCCATCTTGTTCCCTTCCCGTATTTCATCTCACAAAAAAATTCGATCCCTTCCAAGATTTGCCGGACACCGCAAACGCTTCGCTAGGAGATATGATATGCGGCTCGATTGTCGTGGGAGAAAAGTGGTTGCGTTAAATTTAGACGTACTTGCACATCATGGCAACCATCAGGTCGAACAGACCAATGGCCTCGACGAAGGCGAAACCAAGAATGGCGTAGGAGAAGAGCTGACCACGGAGGGCAGGGTTGCGGGAGACGGCGAGGAGGAGGGAGCCGAAGACGAGACCGATACCGATACCGGCACCACCGAGACCGATGGCAGCGGAACCCATACCCAGGTTCTGGGAGACCTGGACCATGGCGTCGGCGATCTCAGAGGAGTACTGACGGCGGCCCTGGGCGGCGAAAGCCTGGCGGGCGTTGGCCTGGATGAGGCCGGAAGGAGACTGACGCTTGACGGTCTGGAAGGGGGTCATGTTGATCTTCTTCTGGGTGGTGAAGGTGCGCTTGGGGGCGACAGCGTTGAGCTGAACGCGAGCGGCAGGGCGGGCAACCTTGGAGGTGGCAGCCATGGTGGAAGCCAGACGGCTGGCGAAGACACGGGAAGAGGCCATTGTGATGGGTGGGTTGGTCTTGAGAAAGAAGACTGGGAGTTTTTCTCGAGAAGATGGGGGATGGGAAGGAAGGAAGGAGAGAAGAAAGAAGAAGAGGAGAAAAAAGGAAGAGGAAGTGGAAGAACTTTTCTGGGAGGAAAACCTGGAGGAAATGTGACAACAGTGACCTTTCCGGGCCATAAATACTTTCCCGCTAAATTTTCGCGTTTTTTACCCTTTCGAGCCCACCAGCCCCCCAGTCGGCTTCCGTTAGTGCGCTTGTTGGGAAGAGAAAAAGCCCTACCCGGGGCCTGGCGCGTGTGTGCTTCCAGTAATTGATTGTCCTCTATCTTACTTGACTGGTATCATACACTGCAATTACCATCTGCTTTACGCTCTCGCGGACAGTTCGGGTTCGTTCGGGATGGGGCCAAGCGCGCAATGCTGCCGGTACAGCCAATTGTTCAGGGTCTCTGTCCGGCCGCGCAGGTCCGCTGGCCGTACTATCCACGAGTCGCATTGCGGCGATGCTGCCATTGCGCACCCACTTCTCGTCCATGACCAGGTCCTGTGCTTTTTCCCCCGTATGCCGATGTGAAGCAATTGGCTTTACAGTAAGATTACTTGTAACCAGGGTGACCGGGGAAAGATTGGCCAAGGGGGGGGGAGAGAGGGGTGGGTGGAGAGAAAGAAGGATGGGGAGGGAGCATTCCCACCCCGAGCTCCCTTCATTCTTCCTTACATATAAAATGGACTTGCCCTTCCATCTTCCGGTTTCCCGACCCTGAGGACAGAGCAATTGGCTGTATGGAGAGTCTGGCCTACGGTATGCACAAAATCTGGTTGTTCTGAAGCTGACTGTGAGGGAGGAGGGATCACAGTAACGAGAGCAGCAGCAGAGTGAGCGGAGAGAGAGCGAAAAAACCAAGGAGGTCCCAGAAAAGTGGATCACAGCAGCCAAATGGGTCCGATAAAGTGGTACATGACCCACTTAGCGGTGCATCCGTAGCCAATGACAGACTAGCCGCCTGCTCGGTCTCAATAGACCGGGCCGAATCGGGCATGCGGCTCCACCAGCGCCGGAGGTTCTGTCCCAGAAACAGAATTCCCACTGGCGACGCAAGCAGGTTTGTTTGCACAGTGTCGTTACTGCAGTCGTGAGCTGAAATTCGGAGGGAATTGCCTCGCCTCACCGACTTGTCTGATTGGGAACCTGCTCTTTTGGGCCAACCCGACTCATCCCGTCGACGCCGGAACAAAAAAAGCTAAGCTGCATGAAGAGCTAGCTCGAAGCTGGGGGCACCACCCACCGTGATGAAATCGACGCCAACCTTTCAGCAGAACCAGAGGAAAGAAAAAAGGAATGTCACTGCATCCATTCTCTCTCTCTTTGTCTGTTGCCCCCAATGCTGGCTCGAGGGAGGTGATGTGGATTTATATAGCTTTTGGATAGATCAGAGAAACCGGCCAAATTTGGTGTGGAAGAAGTCAGCTCGTCTGCACTCCCGCTTCCCACCATCGTTCCCCCCCTAACCCTAGCCAAAGAAATTAAATCATCGGGAAGAAAAACGTCACAATCCTCCCAGCTATTTCTCCCCCTTCCGACCAGAGAAATAAAATACAAAACAATCGAGAGGTAAATCCCATGACGGTCAGCGCTAGTGCCAGCAGCAGTAGCAGCAGTCCACGCCCTGTTTTTTTTTTTTTTTTTGCTCTGGTCAATTCGACGCAGCAGCAAATTCCGCTCACCACCTTGGGGTAGTTAGCCCCCGTCTACCCCCCCCTCCTCCTTCGGCACTCCATCCCCAGGAAAGAGAGATACGCTCTCATATTTATACCTCGCAGTCTTGTCCAGTAATGGGGACGGTCAGATGGAGTCTCTCTTTCAATCTCTTCACCATCTCTCCCTCCCTCCCCCTTTCTCAAAATTGTCACATTTCTTACCCATGCTTACTGCACTATGCCCAAGTTGGCACTAGTGAACGCGGTTGGCGGTGATCGAGATATGATCTCAGCCGCCCTGCGTCCCTTACGTAACCGAGCAGGGGGAGGGAGCTTTTGCGTCTGCCCGTCTGGGATTTTGAACTGCTGCCACCCAACGGACAAACTGGCCTTCAATTTAAGCATGCAGCCGCCGCAGACAGGGATTGCGGAAGCTATTCCAGCCGGGTTCTTCCGTGTCGTAGAGCTGGCAGAACTCTGAGCATGAGGGAGTTGTACTCCGTAGATACTTGTGATTGCCACCTGTCGAGGAGGGGGGAAATATAGGAAAAGAGGAGAGAGAACGCGGCGATGGTTTTGAAACATGTGCATGACGATCCATTATGGGTCCAGAGGGTGATTGATACCTACCTGTGTTGATTTCGTCGCATCATGGAAGAGCCCGCGGATGGATGGGCGGAGGTTCAGGTTGCTGGGGAGAAGTGCCAGCGTGTTTCGTGTATTTCGTGCGTAAGGGTAAGTGTAAATCTGGTATGGATACCGTCTCGGAGCTACAGTTGAAATCCTCAGGCACTAATCTGGCCGGCCCAGCGGGTGGTTGTTGGACCTCGGGTCACGTCCATGGAGAAGGTATGGCGGCGGCTACGAATCGGAAAGATAACGAACGCTTGCAGGTTACCTACTGTGTACACTCCATACACTTTGCACCCTCTATAGTATAGTTCGTCAATTGTATGTAAACAGAGCGCATCTTGCTTCTCAATTCTTAGCAAGTATATAGCTGTTTCATGCATCGTTCTGCGTCTCATAATGAACTACAATCTCGAGTACAAAGGCTTCCACCCGGCAAACCCACCCCGTTCCTACCCGACCGGGCCCTCCGACTCTTCCCTACGTAGTCCCTCCAGATCGGTAAAATCCCTATCCTGCAAATGTACAAGCACATATATCTATATCGCTCTTAAAAGCTCAACTGAATCGAGTCTTAAACAACTTCACCTCTCCATCTCGACTCTCTATCTGGAAACAGAGGAAGCTACAAGAACGATGTCCCCCGAAGCAGCCTATACGCCCGAGCAAACGCCGACGGTCATCCGCGCCCGCAAACATCTCTCAGGAACGCGCGCCAAGCAGCTCCTCCGCGCGGCGGAGCGCGACTACAACGATCCCCCGCCACCGCCGGGGCTGGGCGAGTGCTGTGGCAGCTCGTGTGACCCCTGCGTACGGGATCTCTGGAGGGAGGAGCTGGCCGTTTGGCGCGAGAGGTGGGGGGAGGCTGCCGAGGAGGAGTCTTCGGAGAAGAAGGGGAAGAGGAAGATGCCGGGGAGTTGGGAGTGGTGATTTCGTTTGATTCTATGGAGTTCACCAACTGTCGGAAAGAGGCTACGTGGTTGAGGAGTTTCTTATTCTTATCTTGGTTTGTGATTGATGTTTCTGAACTATGCTATCTGATAGGCGATAACTAACTATAAAGCAGACTGAGCCTCAACAAAACTATCCGCGCCGGACTATCTCTTCGAAGAGAGGATCGAAAAACTCATTCAGACTTCACTAATCTCACTCCCTGCCGGTACCCTGGCCTCATACTCCAACACCAATTTCACCTCCTTCCCAGGCGCCAACTTGACCACCCATTTGACTTCCCCGGCCTTTCCCAGATGCACTGCCCCCTCCTTCATTTGCGTATCGTCTCCTTCCCGGACCAACCCCTTGGGCTCCAGGATCTGCACCTTCAACCGCTCATCGTCGCTGACGGGCACCTGATCGACAACCGCCACCTCGACGGCGTTGCTCCGCGTGTTCTTGACCCGGCACGTCCGGCGGAACACCGCCGCCTCTTCCTTCTGGGAGAACAAGCCCCCACTGCCCGTTGTGCGCCGCACCGTCGGCCGCCCGTACGTGACCTGGATCAGTGGATCCACGCCCAGAGGCAAGGTGAACGATTTCTTCGGCCCGCAGCTCGGCAGGTCCGCGGTCCCCAGGAAGGTCCCGTCGATGGTGATGCCGACTTTCCCGCGGAGGAGGCTCACGGACGCGGAGGAGTTCTGGATCTTGGCCTGGAGGAAGGCGGCGGCGCGCTGCTTGGGGACGATGGTGTAGGATAGGGTGACGGAGTCGAGGTGGAGGTCGGCGAGGAGGTGGCGTCGGGCCACGAGGGATGGGATGACGGTGCGATGACCGGGCAGGTCATATGTGGTTGTGAGGCCGCAATCTTGCTGGAAGGATTCTTGGTGTTCCAGGTCTGGAATGGCTTTTGGTGGTGGTGGTGGTGATCCAAAGGAGGGCTTGGGTTCCTCTTGGGTGGGATCGTTCTCCCCGGATTGAGCGAATGGTTGCATGGATGCTGTCGTTGTACTCATCAGCGCCGTGGGCTGAGCTTGCGAAGGTCTGGGAACACTTCCAAAAAGCCCTCCACTCATGGATCGTCCGAATCCGCCGGATTGAGGACCACTGGTGCCGGTTGGCGGTGGGTTGGCTGGCGCACCGAACAAAGGACCGCTTGTGGTGGTTGGTGGTAGGCCACCAAATAAAGCCCCCCCAGATTGCCGGGCCGGGGGTGGGGGTGGTGGAGGGGCTGCTGCTTGTCCAAACAATCCGCCTTGAACTTGTTCCGGAGGAGCAGCTGGTGCATCATTACCAAAAGGTCTGGACGCAGCCGCTGCAACAACATTATTGGGCCCAAACACAGATGCGTTCCGCGGCGGCTGCTGCTGCTGGAAAAGTGACTTGTGGAGGGTCTGCACTGGCATAAGATGGCGTTGCTCAGGCTTGCTACGCAGAATGTTCTCCCACGAGGTCTGCTCCTGGTTCTTATTGTTGTTGTCCGCTTGGACCATCAGCTGCCACGCCTGGAGCGAGGGAATACGTTCTCCCAGCCCGGAAAACGAGGCCTGCGAGGTGGACAGGGTTACGCGGGCATCGCGCCACGTCTCCGAGCACGCATTACGAAACTCGGCGCGATAGACCATCTTGGCTGAGGAGGCCGGCGTGTTGATACTCAGATCATACCGTGGGATCCAGCTGGGTCCAGCGACGACATAGCTCAACCGGAGCATGACGTTGTTGTCGCCTTGTTTCTTGCCTTCCCCATCATCAGCATCACCATCAGCATCACCATCAGCATCACCATCAGCATCACCATCAGCGAAAGGCGCCTCGCCATCCAGATGAACGACCACCTCTCCGACCCTATTCTTCCGAAACGACTTCTGCTCCTTCTCGAGCCTTTCCTTTCTCTCCTTTCTCTGCATCTTCTCCTTCCTGCGGGCCTGCCTCTCCTTCTCCCGCGCCGCCTCCTTCTTCCTCTTCTCCTTAAACACTCTCTTCTCCACTTTCTGAACCTTGCCCATTAACCTCGCCACCTCCTCCTCCGCCTCCTCCACTTCAACAAGGGCACGGTAATGCTTCTCCCCTTCCTCCTTCCCCCGCGCATTAAACAGATCCATGAACTCCCCGACCTTATACATTTCCACCTGTTGCTGCTGCTGCGGTCTCCCAAACCCGGCTCCACCCGTCGAAAAAACCGATCCCCTCTTCTGCTCCTGCAAGAAATCAATCAAACTTCCCGCGACATCCCTCCGGATCCCCGCCAACGCCGCCTTCTCCTTCACCGTGCGCAGCTCTGCCCTCACGAGTCGAAGCTCCTCGGGTTCATCGTCTGCCTCGTCATCCTCAGAGGAAGACGAATCACTACTACTTACATCCTGTTCACCCTCGTTGGCCTCCAAAACATAAAGCCGCGACTTGACCACCTCCGTCTGGAAATCCGTTACGCAAGCGGGGCCCGAGCCCTCGATGCGGATTGAATCGAAATCTGTTTGGGGGTCAAGGCCGTGGATGGTTAGGGTGTTGGGACCAGGCTTTCCCCCCTGTCAGTGATCTAGATCATCAGAGAAAAGGGGATGGGACGGGACTCACGTGGATCGTGACGGGGATTTCGCGGACGATAGTGGCGCGAGTTGGCTGGAAGGTGACGGTTTTGGTGGGGAGGGAGGTGAGGAGGATCTCGGTTGTGCTGTCTGTGGTGGTGGTGGTGGTGGTGGTATGGTCGGACATCTTGTTTGTTTCTTGTTCTTATTTTTGAAAAATAAAATCTCCGCTTCGTCGATATAAATGATGGAGTGGAGAGAGAGAACTTAAAGATGAAAAGGAAAGAGATGATGGTGACAAGGACGTAGGTAGAATACTCTGTACAGTACTTATACTCCGCACAGCAGCCCCTAATAGGCAACACATCAGGCAGCATGCAATAGCTCCAAAGCTGCGCCTTGTGTCGTGACAAACATGATTGGTGCAACGATTCCTCGCTTATAAATCTAGAGACTAGCGCGGTTTCGATTCTATTATCATTGGCTGTGTGAGTCATTTGTTAGCCTCAAATCGAACTATTGGGGCTTAGCACCGCAACTCGTAACCTTGAAGGCTACATTCCGGATAAAATGACTACTTCAACCGCCTCTAGAGAAACACCATGTGAGTTCCACTCTGGATGGTATTCACTCACCCTCATAGAAAAGTAATAGACACTATGAATCAATTTGGAAAAAGCGAATTGCTCAGCACAAGGAGACAAACAATTGTCGATCTCGAAATCAAAACATCCCTCAGGCGAATTCGAACTGCGAAGCACATGACTTACTGTCATGTGATTTAACAATGGACTCTGAGACATTCGGGATCTTTCCGCGCCGAAGTTGAGGTTCTCATCCGATGTACTTCCCCCACCACCCGACTGGCTCAGCTAAATCCTCATACTTTCCAAAAGCCATTGAAGTGTGCTCACAATTGCTCCTCTGAGGCTACTCTGCATGATGCTGTGTCAAGCTTCTTCAGGATCTCCCTAGGTGGATGGACGAGAGGTGGAAATGCAAATGTTGCATCGATCCGATCCACCCCCCCCACCGTTCGGCGCAAACACCCATTCCAAGCAAATGCAGATCTTTCTCACCGTCAAGCAGGCCGCAAGTCGACTCGATGCAAAGAACCTGTGCCACTGTAGCACAATGTACTTAGAGCGTCGATTGTGGACTTCTTTTCCGTAAGTATCACCCGAAGCTTAAGCGCAACACGAAACAGGAATCGATCCAGTCGAGGAATATGCATCACCTCTCGTTTTCATGCCCCCTGGGTGGCTTGTCGAGCTCATTTTTAATACAGATACGACTTGCATGATAGTCTATCTTCAGTGTTAATCTATTTGCCCTGGGACTAGAATCGAAATGGTCGCACTGACTAAACGGATTTTATCCTGCTGGCCTATTATTTGAGTTCTGAAGGCGATTAATGGCATGATCTGGAGTAGCGAACAACAAGAGACTTTTCGGTTACCCCAATCCGAGACACGCTTCTTGCTTGCAGTTCTTCTCCATAATAGATCGACAACGCGAACATGGCATCTGCTTCTGATGACCGTATCCTGCTCTCACAGAGCCCGTTCAGGCTTATGAATGCGTCCAACACAAATGTCGGCCGCTCGCAAGCACCATAAGATCAATTCCGCAGACATCCTCCTCTCGATGGCTCCCCTGATATCCAAGGTCGTCAGAGCCTCCTGTTCCCTGTTTTGAATTACGATCTCCGGGCAGCTCTTAGCGGGCTCCAGTGCCATATGGCCCAGCAGCGGTGGGTCCCGATCGGCTCCACCGACGAACTCCCGATCGAGCTGCCGTCCATGTCGATCTATACTCTTAAGTTCCTCCACAACAAGGGAATTTGCCTAATCAGGGAACGTATCAAACCGCACTCCGCTACCGCGCCATGGCACGGACGCTGGTATCTGCGGATATTTTTCCTGGCGATTCAGTTGCCATGCAAATGGGCTGCGTGTGATGCCGCTGATCCACCAGGATGTCTCTTGGATTTCCACGCGGGCTCGAACGAGGCAGAAACCTGGAAAATCCCGACCCAGTATAAAGCAGCGCTGATGTCCCGACTCATGAAACAGAGCAGACGCTTATCACATTCCAGTGCCTCACTCTCACTACCAGGATGGTTCTGCCCACGCCCCGGTCTTTAACCTCGGCTGCTGTTGCGGCTACCCTTTTGGGTGCTTCGGCAGTAAATGCGGGGAACTGCTCGGTAGCCGGCATCGCCCAACCCTCGATCCCTGATGGGCAGCTGTTACAGCTGACTGCCATTCCAGTCACTGGCTACCAGAACGGCAATACGACACTGAAATTCTGCAATGTGACTGTCACATACACCCATCCCGGGAAGAATGACGCTATCCACACCACTGTCTGGCTTCCCCTCTCGAGCTGGAACGGCCGGCTTCAGGGCTCCGGGGGTGGCGGCTATGCAATGCGTCACGACGACTCGGTTCTAGCAGAAGCGGTCGGCCTCGACTATACCGTTGTAGCCACAGACGGAGGCCACGGCCTCGTATCCCAGAACTCCGCCGCCTGGTCACTGGATGCATCCGACCAAGTGAACATGGCCCTTCTCGACGACTTCGCCTACGTTGCCTTGAACGATGCGGCCGTCATCGGCAAGCAAATCAGCCACAGCTTCTATGGCTACGGGCCAAACCGCTCGTACTGGAACGGCTGCTCCACCGGCGGCAGACAAGGACTCATGCTCGCGCAGCGGTATCCCACGGCCTACAACGGAATCATGGCTGCGGCCCCCGCCATCAACTGGCCCACCTTCCTGGTGGCGGAATACTGGCCGCAGTTCGTCATGAATCAGCTCCAGTCACACCCGCCGACGTGCGTGACCGACGCCATCACCGCCGCCGCCATCACCGCCTGCGACGCCCTCGACGGCGTCACCGACGGCGTGATCTCAGCTCCCGACCTCTGCACCTTCGACCCTCTCACCTTAGTCAACCAAACCATCGCATGCAACGGTAGCAGCGTGACCGTCACCAAACCCGCAGCGCTAGCTGTCTCGCTAATTTGGACCGGAATGCGGTCTTCGAACGGCACATTCCAGTGGTACGGTCTCGAGCGCGGCGCCCCGCTCTCCGCGGGCAGCGGCAGCCTCGCCGCCACCACCTGCACCTCGCCAACCAACTGCACGGGCTCCCCCTTCGCCATCTCCTCCGACTGGATCCGGCGCTACGTCCTACAAGACCCAGCCTTCGACCTGACCACCCTCGACCACGCGGACCTAGACACCATCCTCTCCCGCTCCGTCGCCGAATACAACGCGATCATCGGCACCGACGACCCGGACCTCTCCGCCTTCAAGTCCGCCGGCGGGAAACTGATCACGTGGCATGGGCTGGCCGACCCGCTGATCTTCCCCAAGGGCACCGAGCACTACTACCGGCAGCTGCAGGCGCGGGACCCGGCGGTGCGCGACTTCTATCGCTTCTTCCCCGCCCCGGGCGTGCACCATTGTTCCGGGGGCGCGGGCCCCGTGCCCGTGGACCCGTTGGCGCAGGTCGTCGACTGGGTGGAAGCGGGTGTGGCGCCGGCGACGCTGCACGCGCAGGCGGCGGATGGGCGCACGCGGTCGCTGTGTCCGTGGCCGCTGGTTTCGATGTACAAGGGTGGGGATGTACGGGAGGCGGGATCGTATGCTTGCGAGGAACCGCAGAGGCAATGGTTCTGATTTTTGTGTCCTGGCGATTGATTCCGGGTTTGAGCATCTCCTTAATCGAGCATCTATCTAATCGCGCATAATTTGATTAAGAATAATTCGACTAAGCATTGGTCGCCATATCGAAGGAGAGAAGTGCAGCTATCCATAGTGTTCAGCCGCCTGGTACCAACGTGGTACGGTAAATGTCAAACCCAGGGCTGGTTGGTCCCCTGAACCATGGCTCGGCAATCAGCCGAGTCCCTGACAACTTAAGTTTGCGGGCTCGCAACTCTCTCCCTGCAAGATAGGATGTAGATAGGGATGTGAACAGGGAACTGATTGTCCCCTGCCGCCCCGGCCCGCCATTCGGAGTACCAAACAAGGCCATAAACGATGACAAAGACTGACTCCACGATTTGATTCGGCATTGGAATAGGAAATCTACAACCCCGCAGCAGGAAGACCATGACCAGCGCCACCCACCAAACCCCCTCGGAGTAAGGTTCTCAAGACAAAGAGCATATTTGCATGAAAAAGCTGCACCGAAGATAGTACCCGAAGATGAATCCGTGATTCTGCATTCTATCCCATCTCATGCGGTCCTTCGTTCCGATATACACCAAGCTCGACAGGGGGTTTAGCCCGCGACGGACCCGCTGGCCATCCACCACCACCACCGGGCCGACTATCAATAAGAGTACTCGTAAGCTCATAACCCGCCCAGTGCGGACCCTGCATCGAATCCGGCCAATCCTCGCCTCCTCCATCACTACCAACCTTATCAAGAGAGGCACGACGACGACGAGTAACGTACCACAGCGTGAACAAGACGGTCGCACCTATACTTACCACGCCGCAGACGACGCCGATCCCTATCTTAGCACCTGTCGACAGTGTCTCAGTGCTGCAATCCCCACAAGATGAACGTCCATTGGTGGTGGTATTCGTCGTCGAAGCGGAAGCGGACGCGGCAACAGTCGCAACCGGGAGCGCCGTCCACACCCCGGACCAACTATCCTCCCAACCATTGTCTGATCCAAGGACAGTGGTATCCTCGGGCTGGATGACGGTGGTCGACGGCGTCTGCAGATTGGGGCCGGGCGCCTGCGCCAGGAACCAATTGCCCGTGCCACTGCCGCTATCGCCCCAGTTGACTCCGACAAATGCGGCCTGCAGAAGGCGCGGCCGAGGGCGTAGACGGCCCCGGCGGTGGTGGTGCCCCGGCAGGGGAAGTAGGGGGTCGGTTGGGCGACCAAGGGTGGGGTTAGGGTGAGGTTCAGCACGGCGAAGGGAATCTTGATGGTGATGTTGGCGCGGTTGGAGTTGTCCTTGGCGAAGGTGAAGGCTAGGTAGCTGGGTGAGGTGATGATGCTACGGTAAGCGGGATTTGAGGTGATCGAGATGTAGAGGCCGTGGGTGCTCTGGTAGGTGACGGGGAGGTGGGCGGCGATGGCGTCGCAGGTGCTTTGGGGGAGATAGATATAGGAGTCCCCGGGGCTGGAGTAGACGGTGATTTCGTTGGAGGTAATTGAGGAGTTGCCGGCGGCCAGAAGACCTGTGGGGTTGCTGTTCGTGGTGCTGTTCGTGGTTGAGGAAGACCACGGCGAGCCTCCGCGGACCACTCCGAGACTGATGTCGCGGAGCTTGATTGGGAACCCTCCATCATCGGAATATGGCTGGGACGAGACTTCCCCCAGCACGCGGGATTGATCGTACCCGCCCAGCAGCAAGGACCCCGCCAGGTTGTACGTGGGCGTGCCGATATGCATCCCGTACGAGTAGGAGGGGATCGCCTGACCGCCACCGGAGGTGAACAGGTAACGGTCGAAAAAGGTGCCGTTAATGGTGGCCTGTCCTCGGTTCGCGAACTGCTGTTGTAGGCTGGGGGCTCCCAGGGAGAGGACTTCAAGCTCGAGAGGGTAATTGGTCCCATCCGGGTATATCTGGTACCCCTGGTCCACCACGTTCAGACTGACGTTCGGGACCATGACCCCCGAGATATCGATCGAATCGAGAGCCCACTTGGCGGTGCCGTAGATGGGGTTGTCGGTGACAGCGCCAAAGTGCAGTGGTCCCCATGTTCCATCGTTGATGGTCAGCCGGATGGCCGTGTCGTCATACGTGGTGGAGGTCAGTTTGTCGAAGACACCCGCCCGGTTAGCATAGCAGTAGGAGGATAATGAAGTATTGGAGCAAATTGAGGAGAGGAGGATGTAACTCTGCCAGGCTCCTCCGGGATAGAGAATTGTATGATCTCTCTAGAATAGAATGGTACTGTACTGCACTATATCTGAAACTCTGATGAGCGCTGACATGACGCTAAAACGCCGCGGCTTTTCCGAACCGAGGATGGATAAAAGAGACCCTGGAATTCGCGACAATTCAATAGGTCGAGTTGCCGCCCGGTGCCGGTCAGCCCTGAACCCTTTATCAGTGATGTTTTCCCTTTGCACGGAGTTCGACTCCGTATAAGGCAAGCCGCTCATCCTGCGGTGAGCATCCCACGCCGATGTCCATGAAAGCAGCTCTGAGATGCAAGTAAAAACGTTCAAGGCAGCCCGGACCGTCTTCGTGTGCTGCTTCACTTTCGCGGTTCTATGGCAGCTCTGCCTGAGCCATTTCCAACCCTCGTTCCAGTTCATCCCTCTTGGTGGCTATACCTCGGCTCCCCAGATCGACTGGTCCCGATTCGCCTACACCCAATATGCCACCAACAGAGCGTACCTCTGCAACTCGGTGATGTTGTTTGAGACCTTGCATCGCCTAGGCAGTCGAGCCGATCGCCTGCTGATGTATCCATCGGACTTCTCCACCGACGACAACTCCAGGGTTGCGAAGTTGCTCCGCAAGGCCCGCGATGAGTATAGGGTCAAGCTGGTCCCGGTCGAGCTTCAGCACCGGAAGGGCGTCGACAGTAAACCACCCATCCCACCGGTGACTTTCCCACAACTGACAGCAAGCGCATTCCAGAGACCTGGGCAGACAGCTACACCAAACTACTAGCTTTCAACCAAACCCAGTACGATCGCGTCTTGAGTCTGGACTCCGACTCGACTCTTCTCCAGGTAAGCTTTGTTGTTTGATCCGGACCCGCAAGTTAGGGTAGGGCAGAAGGCGCTCACAATAGCCCTACAGTCTTTGGATGAACTATTCCTGCTCCCGCCATCGCCCGTGGTCCTCCCCCGGGCCTACTGGCTCAGTCCCGCGAGCCGGACGATGAGCACTCTAATCGCATTAATCGAGCCCTCTGCGTCCGAGTTCGCCCGCATCCAACGAGCGATCGCCGACGCCGGGCCGAACGAATTCGACATGGAGATCGTCAACAAGCTGTACCAGGGCCGCGCGGGGGATCTCCCCCACCGACCTTATTACCTCCTCACCGGCGAGTTTCGTGCCAAAGACCATACCGCCTATCTCGGCGATTCGCAGGACTCCTGGGACCCGGTCGAGGTCTTCAATCAGACAAAGTTCCTGCATTTCTCCGACTGGCCTCTTCCCAAGGTTTGTAAGCTGAATCCCAGGGCATATAGAAAGCAACTCACGGGAAGTTTTCCTCGTATATAGCCGTGGTTCCGAGCCAACACAAGTATCATTGAAGCGAATCAGCCGACGTGTGATCTGGACCCCCAAACGGGTATCCGTGATGACTGTCGCGCGCGAGATATCTGGCGCAGCATCTATGATGATTTTGCCTTGAGACGACAGGTATGAATTAATCCCTCTATCTAGCGTCTGTGCTGGATTGGCGTTGTTGTTGACTCTGCGTGTAGGCAGTGTGTGATATGACAGTCAAAGATGTATACACAGTATGATGGTGCTTTTCATACTTTCTTGCTCTTTTTTATCATCCTCATTTCTGTTGTTAGAGGAGGGTATTTTCGGTATGCCTGGTTAGCATGCTGTGTAGTTATATTGGGAAATCCTCAGGACAGCGTTGGTTTGAGAAAGGTCAGATGTGGGGAAATAGATCTCTTCAGCTCAAGATCATAGACAGATTTGGTCTGACTTTGTCTGGCGGTGTCATATTTGTGCAGGCTAGCTTTTTAGTTTTCTTGGTTTGTCTTTGAACTATATTTTGACGCAATAGCCTACCATGGTACGTGATGAATCTTATCTCTGGGAACAAAGGTCCGGGGAAGATTTGTTGACTGCGTGAATCTATACGTGAACCTGGAACGGACGGAAGGGAATGTAACGTAGAAGGATCAATGTCTTGCACTGCAAGGGGCAGAGGAAAGAGTCGCAACGCGAAATGATGTGATGCCACTTGGAGTGCTTTAGAATAATTATCAAAACACACAGGTAAATCGGCCGGTCGCAGGCCGAGCAAAAAGAAGGAAAACAAAAAGAGACCTCTGAGTGCATCATCCGTGAATCGAACACGGGCCTCATCGATGGCAACGATGAATTCTACCACTAGACCAATGATGCTACTTGATACCATACGTCGGTGGATAAGATCATACAAGCCAAATCAAATAATACAGTGCAAAACCTGCCGCTCATCCACATCAGGCAGTAAGTATACTTCCCAGGTTCTTTTGAGAAAACATCCCGTACGCGACATTCACTATTTTAGCAACTACTCATTTGCAGACCAGTTGATGGCCCCGCTAATCGACGATCATGAGTACGACTTACATAAGCACCACGACACTGAACCCTATACAGGAAAGCAAGAAGAAAAATGTCGAATGCACTGTAACGTTACCAGCAACCTAGCCATGGCGAGAGGGGTACAGGCACTTGGCCTGCAGCGTAGTGAAACCTCATCACGTCAGGCAAGACCGCAATCCCAGCCACCTTCCCGGCAGGTATGCGGGGGTCCTTGAAATACTCAGTCTAAGTCACCGCCGGCATGCCTTTGTTGCGAACAGTTGCTTCTGCCACCCTTGGCCACAGCCATGAAAGTGAGTAAGAGTGACCTGTCGCAAAGCCAATCTTGCTAATATCTCCAGCTCCTTTTCTTCGTCATAGGCCTCGCTCATGCCATTGGCATTGCTCGCAATTCCTACCCCCCGACCGGGGGTGGCACAAAGCGCCTGACTTTCAATGAGACCGTCGTGCGAAAGGCAATTTCGCCGTCGCAAATATCAGTGGAATGGATTTCCACAGCAGATGATGGGCAGTATGTCTACCAAGATGAAGACGGTGGTCTGAAGATCAACAATATTGTTACCAACCAAACGCAGACCCTCGTTGCAGCCGACCACGTCCCGCCAGAGGTGTACAGCTACCAAGTCAAGCCCGATCTCTCGGCAGTCCTCTGGGAAACCAACCATACTAAGAAATACCGACATTCATCGCTAGCAGATTACTACATTCAAGACGTCCTGTCGTTGCAGCTTAGCCCTCTCGTTCCAGACCAGAACGGTGACATTCAGTATGCCCAATGGAGCCCGGTGGGCGACACGATCGCATTTGTCCGGGGAAACAACCTGTTCACCTGGATTGACGGGGTCGCTGCAGCGATCACCACGGACGGCGGGCCTGATATCTTCCATGGTGTGCCGGACTGGGTTTACGAGGAGGAGATCTTGGGGGACCGGTTTGCACTATGGTTCTCTCCCGATGGGGAGTATCTCTCCTTCCTGAGTTTCAATGAGACAGGCGTGCCGACCTACACGGTGCCATACTACATGGATAACCAGGCGATGGCGCCGCCGTATCCAGTCGAGATGCCGATCCGATACCCGAAGGTATCGCAGACCAATCCCACGGTGCAATTGAACCTTCTCCGCGTGTCTGAGAACCGCGCTCTAACCGTCCCGATCGATCCTTTCGAGTCAGATGATTTGATCATCGGTGAAGTCTCCTGGCTCACTGATACTCACACCACGCTAGCCGTCAAGACATTCAACCGCGTTCAGGATCGTCAGGCAGTTGTGGCGGTTGACACTGCTTCAGGGCTGGCGAGAACCATCCACGAGCGCGACGGCACAGATGGATGGATAGACAACACTCTTTCGATAAACTATATCGGAGCGATCGACGACAGCTCCGCTTTATACTACCTCGATATCTCCGACCGGTCGGGATGGTCCCATCTGTGGCTCTTCCCTCTGTCGGGTGGCGAGCCGACCGCTCTCACCAGCGGCGAATGGGAGGTGACTTCGATTCTCAGTGTCGACAGAACCAGACAGCTCATCTACTACCTCTCCACCCAACGGCACAGCACCGAGCGGCATATTTACTCAGTATCCTACCGCACGTTCAAACCCACACCCCTTGTTGATGACTCCTTGCCCGCGTACTGGTCGGCATCGTTCTCCGCGCATTCGGGATACTACGTTCTCACCTACAATGGCCCCGATGTTCCGTATCAGGAGCTCTACTCCGTCGACCAAAGCGATCCTCTGCGCACAATCACCGACAACGCTAAGACCGTTACTCAACTCCAGGACTATGCACTCCCCAACATCAGCTACTTCGAACTACCCCTCCCCCATAGCCCCACAAACGAAACCCTCAACGTCATGCAACGACTGCCGGTGAATTTTGATCCGACCAAGAAATACCCCATCCTATTCACCCCCTACGGCGGCCCCGGCGCGCAGCAGGTCAGCAAAACATGGCAGTCCCTGGGTTTCAACGCCTACATCGCCTCCGACCTGGAGCTCGAATACATCACTTGGACTGTCGACAACCGGGGGACAGGTTACAAGGGTCGTGCATTCCGCACACAGGTCTCCAAGCGCTTGGGACTTCTGGAAGCGGCGGACCAGATCTACGCCGCCCAGCAGGCCGCCGCGCTGCCCTACGTCGACGAGGACCACATCGCGATCTGGGGGTGGAGTTTCGGCGGCTACCTCACAGCCAAGGTCATCGAACAGGATGACGACGGCGATGGCATCTTCTCGCTGGGACTGATCACGGCGCCGGTGGCGGACTGGCGGTTCTACGACTCGATGTACACGGAGCGATACATGAAGACGCTGGCGGAGAACGCGGGGGGCTATGCGGCCAGCGCGGTGCGGCGGACGGCCGGGTTCCGGAGCGCCCGCGGCGGGGTCCTCATCCAGCACGGCACGGGGGACGACAACGTACACTTTCAGAATTCGGCGGCTCTGCTGGATCTGTTGGTCGGCGATGGGGTGTCCCCGGAGAAGGTGCAGGTGCAGTGGTTTACGGACTCGGATCATAATATCAATTATCATGGGGGGAATGTGTTTCTGTACAAGCAGTTGGCGGGGCGGTTGTTTGCGGAGAAGATGCGGGGGGAGGAGGGGCTGAGGCATGGTTGGAGTCGGAGGGGGGTCGCGGTGTAGTGTACCGTAAGATGACACTGAAGTGAATGATATCAATATCGGGGCTCATATGAGTTTCTCCAGGAGTCGTTTCAGTCGGTAATCCCTCAAGTAGCCATAACCTGTCCTTCACAACGGGCCATCCTGTAGCTTGACATAGCCAGTAGTAGCACTACGGGTAGTCGCAAGATGCTAATTCCAATACTATGAACAAAAGCCCATGATGAGGTACAAATCACAACTAGGTAACCTAGACAGCAACCGATCTCAAAAAAGTACATTGAAGCATTTAGCTGCAAGCCGCGTGGCCAGAAGAAAATGTTAAAATAAGTCGATGAAGTGGAATAGACCCCTAAGCGATAGCCATATAATACAAGAACTTCCACTGCTATGTACAATACAGAACCCCCACCCTCCCCACCTCCCCACCTCCTCAGCCCCTATCCCAACCCTACACCACCGGCAACAAAACATCCACATCCTTCCCATCGACCCAGCTCCCATGCAACCCCCAGCACAGCCGCACAGGCAGCCTTATCCTGGTTTTGGCGCGGGGTGCAAATCCCTGGTATCGAGGAGATGCAGTTAGTAGTCAGGGATGATCATCTCTCCTCCCATCAGACCTTTGAAAAAACTAGTTACTGTATGTACTGTACTACAACTCGCCTAGGGGATCATTCAACTAGTCTTCTGGATTTGCTCTATTCTGTAAACCCGGAGTTTCCAAGAGCCAGGAACCAGGAACCGTACTCTGCCAACAGTGATTCCGGGAGAGGATGAATCAGTGACCGAATTTAGTACTGCTAACTCCAGACCTGAACCAAAGAGGTAAGTTAAGGGGATTGATAGCGATGATGGCAATATAGCCGGCATACCTACCTACACACCGACACTGTGCCTTTTGCTGGTTCGGATCCAGTTGCCGAATGTAGTTGCATGGCATGGCCTCGACCATTGAGCCCTGTTGGTGGGCGGAGACCCGGGGGGTGTGGGGGAGGGGGGGGGGAGCATGGTTGGAGTCGGAGGGGGGTCGCAATGTAGTGTACTGTACCTGGTAGTGAGTGGTAATATCATTAATGGCCGATTGACTCACCCCCTACTGGTTCTACAAGGAATGAATAGGACCAATCCGCTGCAAGTTGCAAGCTACGTAATCAGAAAATACATCATAAAATAACTTACATGAGGTAAAATAGACCATTGAGCGATAAATCTAGATTACAATATTTCCAGTGCTATACACAATACAACACCCCCCCCCCCCCCTTTAGCCAGTATTCCAACCCTACGCCACCGGCAACGGAACATCCTTCCCATCAACCCAGCTGCCATGCAAGCCCTGGCGCAGCCGCACAGGGAGCAAGATTTTGGCCTTGGCGCGCGTGAAATCCCTGGTATCGAGGAGATGCAGCTCACTGGCCATGGTATCGTAGTTGCTGACCAGGGCCAACACATACCCATCCCCTTCGACGGTCGACCCCTCGCGCGGAATAAACACGGGCTCCTGGACCATATGCACGGGCCCGGGGAAGTAGACCTCCGTCCTGCCGGTATGGTTGTCATAGTGCGCCAGCGAGTTGTACAAGGGAGCGCCACCGCCGAGCCTGGGGCCGATGCGGGCGAAGTCGGTGCCGCGGGCGGGGTCCATCAGATCGAAGAAGCAGTGGCGGTAGGGTTGCATGGCGAAGCGGTCGTCGATGCGGTAGAATTCCGAGTTGTCGGCGTGAAGGATGCGCGGGGCGGGGAGGTCGAGGTTTCCATCCGACCCAGCGGCAGCGGCAGCGGCAGTGGGAGGAGGGTTGATGGTGGTGATGGTGATGGTGAAGCGCACGAGCCGCGAGCAGATCGTGCTGGGCTCCGGGGCGTTCCCGGCGGCGTCGGGCCACCAGAAGAAGACGTTCTGCTCGCTGAGGCCCAGGTCGACGTGCAGCTTGCCGCCGTCCTCGAAGGCGTTGGCGACGTGGCCCGGGAAGGCGTTCCGGTAGCGGAACCACCTCACGTCGGTGGGTTGCGCGCCCCGCCGCGGCAGCACCCCCAGGTACAGCGGGGTCTCCGGGCTCCATTCCCAGTGCTCGCCCCCCTGCTGCATCCGCCCCAGGTCGCACAGCTGCGGGATCAGCGGGAACACCACCCAGTTCTCGGTGACGGCGAAGTCGTGGATCATCGCCACCACGGGCGCCACCAGCCACACCGTCTCGGTGAATCGTCCATCGCGGCTGATGCTGTAGTAGCATACGTCCGGCGTGCCGTCCCCGCGCGCCTCGTACCCGAAGCAGACCATCTCGCCCGTCCGCGGGTCGACTTTGGGGTGTGCGGTGAAGGTCACGCTGGGAAGCTGGCCCTCGAAGTCGTACAGCCCCTTGGTCGCCAGGGTGATCGGGTCCATGGCGTACGGGGGCGAGTCCTCCTTCAGGGCGAGCAGCTGCCCGTTGAAGTGGACGACGTTCGTGTTGGCGGTGCTGCGGACTTGGAATTCCACGGCGTCGGTGAATTTGTTGCGGTATTTGCCTGGCGAGTTTGGAAGGTATCAATAGGAGCCCCTGGAGACGAGTTCGAATTCTCGTGGCAACTCAAACGTGGTTTTTTTGGTAGTTGGTGATTGGGTTTAGGGCTGGCTCACCGATCAGAGCTCGTCCCGCCTCGCGCTCGCGCACGAATTTCTCGGTCCGCACGTAGCGCTGCTTGTACGAGACCTTGCCGTCCTTGAACCGGAAGGCGGACACATTGCCGTCTCCATTGAACCACTGTACCCGAGGAGTCAGTTCTGGCTTTTAGTCCAGGAAAGTCCGGACTTATCGTACCGGGTCATTCTCAATAAATGGAGGCAGTTGCGGATCGGGCATCACGCGGTAGAACACCCCGTCGATCTCCTTGGGCAATTCGCCCAGGATCTCCAATTGGGACACCTCCCCTTCCATCCGACAAGGCTTCATGAACCCGGAGAATTGGGAGCGGTCGGGGAAGGCCGCCCTAACTTCGGAGTTGGCCATGCTTTCAGGGAGCGATTTAGGAAGTATTGTTGCTTAGGCAAGATATTGTCGTCCAGATTGGGACCGGCGGTGGGCTATATAAGCAAGCCATGAAGGACTTGGGGCTGGTCGTGTTCCGATGCATATCTTTCAAAGTTATCATGCGTAGTAAGTGAGGGGAATCTTGATCGATACCTCGCCCAATCACTACAGCAGTTCTGGTCCACCCAGCAAGAAAACTGGGGTAAAATGTGGGCCCGGAACTTCTCCGGGGTGTGAAAACTCCCGCTGAGTCAGGATATCACAATTTATGCGGAGCAGAGTGGTTTTAGATTTCCTCGCTTGCAAATTCGGTAGTTCTATATCATTGCCTTCATATTTGTGCTTCCAACTACCGTGACTGGGACCCGCGGTTTCCTTTACACTATCGATGCTCCGCGGTCGTTCGCAACCGGCCAGATTGCCTCATTTCTGGCCAAATAGGACTTTCATAGCCCCCGGCTTTCCGCTGCAGGATCTAGAGGCCAACTACTAACTCGCTACTACGATCCGGAATATCACTTGCTACCGACTCAATGCCTCCCCGATCAAGATCTACTCCCCCCAGTATCGCGGCATTGACTGCCTTCTTGGAGATGCTGTCCCCCGCTGCAGCAGGTGGACCACGTAAATTGCTAGTCAAAAAAGAGATGTGATAAATCTCACCACCCTCTTTGGAGTATCGTTACCGCAGCACGGGCGATGCCTGTAGGTATCTTGATTCTCCAATAGCCTCGCCAAGAACTATGCAGACTATGTGTTAGTCTAGGTAGCGGGTACTCAACTGAGGCACCGAGACCATTGCAGAATCACGTGACCAGCATCATGCGCTCCGTGTCGAATCCGCGTGAGGGACTTTTTAATTCAATGATTAGTTATTCTTTCGCTTCCCCCCACTGCTCAACTACGCTCCTTACGAGCGGATAAGCTGTCTTCCTGTAAATGAGGCGACACTACTCTATCCCTTGCTGAGTCTGCAGTACTACTGTACTGCATCTAACCCATTGGCGCTATCGAGCGGACTAGCGCGATCGAGATTCATGCCCCGCTGCTAATCCGCAATGAATCTACCCTGTGATTTACCGGTGTGGTAAACGGAGTGAGTCTCTCACTAACTGCACCTGCATTCGACGTAAGAAAACTGGCGGTCGCCAGTTCCTCAGGTGACGACAACAGCATTGTCCCCCATGTCGACGATCGGCAAGCAGGTGGAACCGTGGGGGTGTCTCTCCGCCCCCTCCACCTCTCAGACGAGCCAAAAGTGCAGCTTGGTGTGACAAAAGGGTTAGCAATGGATACGTGGCTCGCACCTTTTCAGCAGACTAGCTTGCTCGGCAAAGTCTGGAGCGGGGTTCAGCTTCTGATGTCTATGACTTAAATGGCTTTTCTCCCCCCTCATTTCTCCCCGACACCGGAAAAGCTCCTCCGTGACTTCCCCCGCTTTTTCTGTACCCAGCTACACAACAACCCGAACCAGCTCTCCCCTCCCAGAGCATAACAGGGACAGAGACACCAATTCACCATGACCGCCGCTTCAGCCCAGTACCTGCCCGGCTCGGTCGACATCCCCGTCGGGCAGTTCCCTCCGACCCTTACATCCACCGATGTCGACCCCGAAGCTATCGCCTCCCAGCTGGTGGACACGATCAACACAGCCCTCAGCAAAGGGGACATCGAGGCCATCAGCAGTCTGTTCCTGGAAGACGGCTACTGGCGGGACCATCTCTGTCTGACGTGGGACTATCGCACCGCCAAAGGTCCGGAACGAATCCAGGCGCTCCTCAAATCCGCACAGCTGCCGACCAAGATCGAGGTCGATCGATCGACCGCTCTGCGCACACCGCACGTGGGCGCGATTGACGCGTTCGGAGATGCGCAAGGCGTGGAGTTCTTCATCAAGGTCTCCAGCCCCGTCATCAGCGGGACGGGTGTCGTGCGTGTGGCCGAAGTCAAGAGCGAATGGAAGATCTTCACCTTTTTCACATCTCTCCGAGATCTGGTTGGCCACGAGGAGAGAGTCGGTCATCGCCGGCCCTTGGGAGCACAGCATGGCGCGACCAAAGATCGACGGAATTGGCAGGACAGGCGGAACGCAGAGCGCAACCTGGAAGGCGAGCCTCCGGCGGTCTTGATCATCGGTAAGCATTAATCACCCTACCAACTTTGGACATCGTGAATATGCCTCTGACAAACATCATAAAGGTGCCGGACAAGCCGGCCTCACCGTGGCCGCCCGCCTGAAAATGCTTGGAGTCGAGAGCCTGATAGTCGACGAGGCGGACCGCGTGGGCGACAACTGGCGCAAGCGATACCACCAGCTGGTGCTCCACGACCCCGTGTGGATGGACCATCTCCCGTACGTGCCTTTCCCGCCCGGCTGGCCGGTCTTCACGCCCAAGGACAAATTCGCGGAGTTTCTGGAATGCTACGTCAAGCTCTTGGAGCTCAACGTGTGGACGCGGACCAGCGTGCAATCCACCTCGTGGAGCGAGGCCGACGGCCGCTGGACGATCGACCTGCAGCGCCGCAGCGAGGACGGAAGCACCACCGAAACCCACACGCTGCAGCCCCGCCACGTGATCCAAGCGACCGGCCACTCCGGCAAGAAGGCGATGCCCACCTTCAAGGGCATGGAGACCTTCCAGGGCGACCGTCTCTGCCACAGCAGCGAATTCCCCGGCGCCAGCGACCTGAGCGGAACGAAAAAGGCCGTGGTCGTGGGCGCCTGCAACTCCGGCCACGACATCGCGCAGGACTACTACGAGAAGGGCTACGATGTGACCATCGTGCAACGCAGCTCGACCTGCGTGGTCTCTTCCGCGTCCATCACAGACATCGGCCTGAAGGGCCTCTTCGACGAGGACGGCCCGCCCACCGAGGACGCCGAGCTCTACCTCTGGAGTATCCCCTGGGAGGTCTTCAAAGCCCAACAGATCAAGATCACGCGGGCGCAGACCGCGCACGACCGCGCCGTCCTCGACGGCCTTGCGCGCGCCGGGTTCCAGGTGGATGACGGCCCCGCGGGTGCCGGCCTGATCATGAAGTATTTCCAGCGCGGCGGCGGCTACTACATCGACGTCGGCGCCAGCCAGCTCATCGCCGACGGCAAGATCAAGGTCAAGCACGGCCAGGAGATCGCCGAGGTCCTGCCGCACGGCCTGCGCTTCGCCGACGGCTCCGAGCTCCCCGCCGACGAGATCGTCCTCGCCACCGGCTACCAGAACATGCGCACCCAGGCCCGCCAGATCTTCGGGGACGCGGTCGCCGACCGCGTCGGCGACGTCTGGGGCATGGACGCCGAGGGCGAGATGCGCACGATCTGGCGCCGCAGCGGCCACCCGGGCCTGTGGTTCATGGGCGGGAATCTGGCGCTGTGTCGGTATTTCTCGAGGACGTTGGCGTTGCAGATTCTGGCTTTGGAGATGGGGGTTGCGAAGTAGGTGCGTTGTGCAAGGCGGGTTGTTTCGGGGGATACCTCGGAAGAAGCTGGATAGGAGAAGAAAGGGCTAAATCAAGCGTAACTTGGTTCTGTCGGAGGAGCACGATCGGATCCATCATGCAAGACATATTTCAAGAGAGAGAGAGAGTTTGTGTACGGAGTACTGTATGATCCAATGCATACCAATGCATAATGCATAAAACATGAGCACTGTACGAATGTGCACTGTAAATCCCTCAACCGGATCAAACCCCCCTTAGGTAGATTAAGCCCCGCAAGGCGGACGGACCCTTGTGCATCATTATTATTTGCAGAGACTAGCAGACCGCAGACTAAGCGGAAAGCAAACGGGCCTCGGGACCGGTCGCCGTACGCCGGAGAACCAACACCATCACGCGGAGACGGGCGGGCGGGCCAGAACTTCTACTAGTAACTAACTATTCTCCGGGGTCGTTCTCTAGGTACGGAGTACTCATTTCCCTTTCTCGGAGAAAAGACAAAGAAAGTTTCCATGACACTATCATCTTTCCCAAAGCCAACATTGACTCGATTTGGATATCATCGACGTACCGTACAAAGCAAGAGTCCCTGACCGTGACCCTGAACCCTGAACCCGGACACCTGGCCTGGCCCAGCTGGCCCTCTGACTTTCCCCAAAATACAAACACCGACGATCACCAAACACCAACAACACGAACACCTAAAAACTCCAAGCTAAAGTTTAAAGAATAAACCCCGGACATCCAAACAATTTAAGGAGACTACAGTAACGAAAAGAGACATGAAAAAACAAATCAAACCCACCCCTCCATCCTCGCCGCATAGATCCCCACCAGCAAGGTAATCGTGTAGAGCACATCGACGCGCTCCTCGCCCACCCCGACGGCGGCCAGCACCCGCCGCCGCAGCTGGTCCTGCTGCTCCCCGCGCAGGACCTTGATCCCCTTGTGCGAGAGCCCGGCCAGCCAGGGCCGCCGGGGGCTGCGCCGTTGATCGCCGGGGTTTGGATCGACGGGGCCAGCACTTGTGGTACTAGTGGTGCTGCCCCGAATGCCGAGGAGGAAACTTGCCGGGTCGTGGTTTTTGGGCTCAACGTTGTCGCATTCTTCGTCGTCGTTGTCGTCGTCGTCGGGGGTGGTGGACGCCGAAGACCGATGGGTCCGCGTGGCTGCCGATGATCTTGGCGGGGGGGTTTTGTGTTTGGGTTTTTTCTTGGCGAGTTCGAGGGTGAGTTTTTGGGGGGGGTTCGGCGAGGAGGATGATGAGGGGAGGACTTGGAAGATGTAGCCTCCGCGGGAGGTGCGGGAGGCGAGGAGGGTGAGTTGGAGTTGGGGGAGGTAGATTGCGTTGTTGTTGTTGTTGTTGTTGCTGTTGTTGTTGTTGGGGGGTGATTTTGTTGTTGGTGATGTTGATGATGATGAGGAGGAGGACGCGGGTTTGTGGTCGGTGGAGCTGCTACTGCTAGTCGCGGCGCTAGTGGTTTTGCTGCTGCTGCAGTAGTTGGTGTATATCACTCCTACTACCGGGCTGTCGGTGCTGGGACTTTGGCTGCATGATGCAGGCAGATTCTGGTAGGCGTCGCTTTGGACGACGTACAGGTCCTGGCTGTGTAATTTGCTGGGACAGCCGGGGATCGACTTGCCGAGGCTGGAGGGGCGGTAGATCTCGAGGATGGGAAGCGCGCGCGAGGCGGAGAGGAGCTGTTGGATCTGGAGCAGGAGGCGCGAGGTGAAGCGGAAGCACGAGGTCGATTTGGGCGGTGGGTGCGCGAAGGGGAAGACCTGTTGGGATGGCGATTTGGTCTTCGCTGTGGTAGGCCTGCTGGTTTGGAGTTTCGTTAGAGATGTGGTTATAGGTAAGTGGTTAAATTGCAATATGCAGTACATCCTCCGTACCTGGATTGGCTGGAGACGGTACTATCCGTGTCGCTATCAGTGACGCTCATGGTTGTTTAGGGCGGTTGATGCCGGTGTCACTGCCAGTGTCACTTGTTCACTTGTGAGTGTTGACAATCAAACTGAATCTTCAGGAGCAGCTGGGAGACTTTAAAGACTTTAAAGTCCACGATCATCCACATCGCTGTCGCTGTCGCTGTCGCTGTCATCGTATTCGTACCTTCAGCCCTGCTCCGCACGGTCATTGCGCGGTCGGGGCTGTTTGACCGACTGTGTAGTCGCAAATCCTGCGACTATCTCTGCAATGCTTCTTTTTCCTTTTTTTTCCCCCATATTTCTCCTAACGCCTAGTGCAGCTGATTTGACTGGTGCGACTGGTGCAAGTGGTACAACTGGGCCAGCCAAGAACGGGATTCTTTTTTTGGGGGCTGCTCTTAGTCTCTCTTACGTACGTAACGGAGGTCAAACGGGGGGTTTCCAGCGGCCGAGAAGGACTCGACTGAACACTAAAACACTTTAGCTCCGCTGGGCTGAATCGGAGATCGTAAGCCCCGCTGCCGGACTGACCTTTTTGGTATCGGGATACGGATACGACCGAGCCCGTTGCCGCCTGCTCCGTTCCGTGGATTCTTGGTATTCTCTTGGTTGTCAGGAACGGTTCTCTCCCAAAGATACGAGTACGATCAATTACTGATCCCTAGACTAGGTAGGTTCTTTGACCCTGAACAACGGAACTGCGACAAATCAAGAGTGGGGTATCATTCTTTCCTTCATCTAATCTTACATAACTATCTCCCAACAACCGTCAACAACATCTAGTAAGCAGCGACAGCATAAGCAATGTAAGCACAACCGAGCCCGCGGTTGAACACCGCCCCCTGAATCCTGCTGCTTCCCGCGGGAGTCGGAACTCACTCCCGGAGTCTCCCCCAATCTTCCATCTCCTCTACATTGACCCCTCGGCGGCGAGCAAGGGCGCCGAGTTGCTCACACGTGGCGTCTGCGGCGCGGCGTATTTCTTCTGGGATCTCAGTACGCTCTTTTAGAGGCCAACCGGCAGATCCACTTTCTCTATCCTTGTAACAAAGATCCATCTGAATCGACAACCTCTTCAACTCCGGTAGAAAGGTTCTCGATGCGAAGGCCTCCTCCCACTCCTTCCAGCGATCACTCTGCGTCAGCATCGCCGGTCCGCGCAGGCGCAACGTCGTCAGAGTCCGCGGGAACAGCCTGTATAAGGCGTGTAGGTGGGCCTCATCACGGAACACCTCCCCGACCGAGAGTTGCAATGTCCTCAGGTTTTCCATCTGTGGTAAAAACTGCACAAACATCTTCTCGTTGGTCTGCTGAAACTCGCAACAACCGTTCGTGGAGCTGAGGTGCAGCGCGGAGGTGTTCCGGACAACATGCGGCAGGGCCAGGGTCATGCGGGCAAAAGTGCACATAGCATCGTTCTCGACGATCTCCAGCGTCTGGAGGTTGACCTCATGCTGCGTCGGTGGTGCGTTGTCTGGGTCGAGCTCGTTGAAGTTCGGCCCTCCGTATTTCGCGTCCAACCAGGCCATGGCCAACTGAGGAAGGAAGACAATCTCAATCTTCCTTTCTTCAGGAGTGCCCTTGTGTACCGTGATATATTCCGACTCGGCCTCCCCACGGGCAATAGCCTCCTTGTGTCTATCTTGCAGCTCCTGATTGTCTGGACCCTCGAAACGAAGGCCGCTAGTGTAGTCGAGGATCAGATGAGAGACTCGTCCCTGGCGGATGAATGGGGTTTGAGTGATAGTTCCGGAAGCGGAGCTGATCAGCAGTCGCGAGAGGGGCCAGTGAGGGGGGATGTGTCTGTCATTCAGGTCTTCGTTATACCCTGTATGGATCTCAAGGTTGCGAACCAGGGGAAAGTGAAGGCCCAGGAGGGCCCATTCTGTGTCAGAGGGAGTGTCGTTTTGAATGATGAGGGTGTCGGTGTCTCGTGGAATTAGAGGGAGCTGCAAAGAAAGCTTCTGACGGTGATCGGGTTTGGACTCTTCGTGGGGCCCTTGTACCTGGACCGTTGGTGACGCGGTAGCCATGTTTCGGAGTCTGAGCGGGCGAAGCAGCGTCGCGACCCCTGGGAGTGGAAGTCGGCTGGCGAGGCGTGGTAGAGGATGCTAGAAGAAGGGTAAGTAAAGATTTTCTATGAGGTCGAACGTGTCATGAACTATACCATTGTGCCAATCCTTGAAGTTGGAGAGAAGAGGAGGTTGAATCACGGTTGTCACTCCTGTCACACACATCTTCGTATCCTTGCATCCCATCCCCGCATTCCCTGGCCGGAATATCAGCCGGGGTTGTTTATCCGTTCCTGGCGCTCGTGTTGAGATAGGTCAAGAAAAAGGAGACAAAGTGAATCTCGAAAGACTAGAAAGCAAGCGACAGGCATTTGTCTGCACATTTGTTTGTTTTCCAATAAGCCTTCGGTGGTTCCAGTAGCTGTTGAGAAGAGGTTCGAAAGGCGCGTGGATGTGTTCTTGTAAGCGATCGCTTCTAATGCCATTCGATGCCAGAACGGAAACTTGTATGAGAATCAACAAAAGTGGAATGCTTCTAAGATACCTGGTACTGGTTCTCAGCCTAGTGTGTGTAGATCTTCTGTCTTGGTGGCTGTCGTTGTATGGCCGGTGGGGACTGGGAAGAGCTTAACTGTGTTGAAGAGAGCGCGAAACATAAGAGCTCCAGCCTCCACGCACGGCCGACCAGTTCTACCTGTGTCTTCTCTTCCTCCACGGATAAAAGCTTCTGTCAACCGCAGCCCGATCCACCTAGCAAATGTGTGCTGTTTACATGCGGGAAAACTCCAGAAATCGAGATTGTTCTGTCGGACTACGCAAAACCCGGCCCAAACTCCGCAAAGCCCGAGCCAGCCACGCCCACGCAAGCTAAATCCTCCCGACACCACAACCAGCCATCATTTCACTCAATCATATTCCTAGAGAGCAATTGAAGGAGTTCCAGACATTTCAAACACTGCATCTGCTTACAATGGTCCCACCCTTGCAGGAGGAGCTTTTCTTCATTTTCTGCTCATGTCGGAATCATAAGGTTTGAGCATGTCGTCATGGATTACTGGTGTTGTCAGCTATAAAGGCACCGACATCTTCTGCTACCCCATCCCTCTTTCCCCTTAACTTTCCCCTCATCACCAAAAACCATCTCTCTGGCAGACAGGACGCACCGACAGAATGAGCACCTCAACCCCCAGCTTTGCAATCGCCCAGGCCGTAGGATTAACCGGCGCCGCCTGGCTATCCGGTAAGTTACACCGACCCCCCTACTCTTTTTTTCCCGGTGTCACAACCAGACCACTAATCCCGAACCCCTTCCACAAAAACAGGCAACATCTTCTCCCTAAGCCTCATGGGAGTCCCCCCGCTGATCGAAGCCCACCACACGGAGAAGATCCCCCTCTCGACCGTCGTCAAGCAGTGGCGCACCATCTACACGTACGGCGCGCAGCGCGCCCCGCTCATCGCCCTCAGCACCGCCTCCACCTTCCTGTACCTGGCCTGGAGCGTGCGCGAGAGCACCCCGCTGAGCCTGATCACCGCGCGCCACAGCTCCAAGGTCTACGGCCTCGCGGCGGGGTTGACGCTGGGGATCGTGCCGTTCACCCTCCTGGCGATGAAGAAGACCAACGATCGGCTGTCGCAGTGGGCCAAGGTCAAGACCGAGGCGGAGTGGACCCCCGAGGCGGACGCGGAGGTCGAAGGCCTGCTGTGGAAGTGGACCTGGCTGAATGCCGCCCGGTCGGTGCTGCCGTTGCTCGGTGGGTTGGTGGGGTTGGGGGTGTTTGCGTGATTTTGCGATGTCGAACTATATCTATAATGGGACTGGGGAGTGGTTCAATTCTGTATACTAATGTCGGAGTTAATGGAGTTGGGGGTTACGAGTTTTATCGCTCGGACAGAATTGTGGTAGCTTTTTTGGCCGGTGGACGAGTCTGACAAGCTTCACGATAAGGTGTAGCTAATCGGGTGTCCGATAAGCTTCGCTGCCCTGGTGCCTTGACGTTCTTTGGCAGTATACTCCGTACCTGTCTGTAATTGGGAGTCATTTGGGTCAATATATTTGATTTGTTTAAACACATAGTCAACTCAAACTACTTCGTTCTCGCTGGTCGAGATACGTAGCGTTGTATAAGTAGAGGGTCCGTAGAACCTGAACCGCCCAGCAAAGTGACTCATCCATCGAGATAAATTCGGAGACATGATTCAGGCTGACTCATTGTATATCCCCTTGCAACCATTCCCACTCTTCTGTAAAAATAAAGAAGAAGGATAAATGATTTGAGGAATAGCATTACTCCAAGTGATACCAAGCAAGTCTTTTCAATACACACCCAGTCCCGTTTCCTACCACCCCATCACCGCAACATGAACCAAGCAACCTCACCACCAACCATGCCAGACTCCACCACAACCATCACCCTTACCCCAATCAACCTCCACGAGCCGACCGAATACGCCGCCCTCCAACACCAGCGCACAATCTGCGGCTGGGACCAAACCGACGAAGCCCTCCTCGCCTGGCGCGCCAAACAAGACGCGGGCCTCAAATCCTTCTTCTGGATCGACATCGTCCCCCCTTCCGTCTGCACCTCCGCCTCTACCTCCACCTCCACCTCCTCCACCAGCAGCGACAATAACAACATCAGCAGCAGCAGCAGCCGCCAGAACACTGCGGTGGCGCCAATCCACGCAGGCCACATCTCCCTCGACGCCTACGCCCACCCGCCGGACCCGGACCTGGCCACCGCCGACGGCACCAACCTCACCATCCAGTCGTTCTTCATCCTCCCGGCGCACCGGGAGGGCGGGCTGGGCCGGCGCGCGATGGCGCTGGTCGAGGAGCGGGCGCGCCGCGACCCGCGCTGCCGGTACGTGACCCTCAACGCCGTCAGCAAAGCGTACTACGCGGACCCCGGGCGGCGGCGCTGGATCGAGCGCATCCGCGGCGAGGGTGGCCTGCCGGTCGCGGAGTGGTATGAGAGGATGGGGTATGTGCGGTGGAAGACGGAGCCGCGGTACACGGACTGGACGCCGGAGGGGGAGGAGGTGGTTCTCGAGGCGGATTTTATGAGGAAGTTGGTGGGGGGCGTGGGGTTGGGGTAGATGGTGGGCTCTGGGATGGGTTTAGTGCGCTGTGCTGTGCTGTGTATATGGGGTCTGGGGGATGGAGATAGGATGGCTTGTATGTACAAAAGGTTGGTGGGTGTTGATAGGGATGTGCTGTATATATGAGAACACGTATACGTTTATGTTGATTTCACATGGGTGAGGGCTGGATTGAGGTCTTGCTGGGTCTGTCTTCACTGAGATATGCTGGACCTTCACCTTCGAGGCTTTCGATGCTGGGTGTGGTTGTTTGTGTTTGGAGCGTGGTGAGCAGAAACACAGTAGGCTACGTGATTAGACGCCTATCTTTGATTGGCTGTTTAATTACTCTTGGATATCGATGGTCAATCTATCAACTCAGGGCCGGTGATGTACACATTTGTGAGGCTACTTTGATAACAGCATACTAAGGCTGGTCAAAGTAACACACAAAGATTCTGCTTCCCTCAACCACAAAGTCTCAGGTGAAGTGAAGTCTCGCTTAAGTGGGTCTTTACTCTGTCGATGACTTCTCCCCACCTGGAGGAACACACCCTCACCTTTCCTTCCTGTCTTCTCCATCGATGGGACAACGCGACCTTGCAACCCAAGTGCAGATTGCAGATCGTTTGCTCACTTGATTGCACACGCTACTCTCTATCATCGCACCATGTCAACTCTCATCGAGCAGCATCCTCCGGGATACTTGAACGAGTACTGCGGTGGTCAACTGATCGGCACTGCGGTTTCGTTCATCGTCTTGGAGCTTGTCTTCGCGGGGGTCCGGTTCTGGGCCCATAAGAGACAGAGAAGAAACTGGGGTGTGGATGACTGGCTCATGGTTCCAGCCCTTCTGGCCAATCTGTGTGTTTGCATCACAGGAATAGGCAAGTATGCCGTTTTCTATCTGGGCTGATCACTGTAAATTTTATGATCTCACTTCTGTTGGCGTCTTCTCTTGAAAATGAGAGGCTTGTTGAGTCGAGATTCCGTGATATCTAACGCGTTGCGCAGTGATGATCCCTGTTGCCGGCGTTGGCTATCACATCGACAAGATCTTGATGGAAGCGCCATGGAAACTCGTTCAGTTCCAGAGAGGCATTTTCGCTGGGATCTGGGTCTGGGGCTTGGCGATAGCTCTGCCCAAGCTGGCAATCCTCGCTTTCTACCTTCGCTTCTTCAAGTCTCGGAACGAACGAATTGTCACCTATGTCCTCATGGCCATCATCGCGTCGACCTATGTTGCCATTTCTTTGGCTCACACTTTTGCATGCATACCCGTGGGGTATCAGTTGAACCCATTCAAGCCGGGAACAGGTCAATGTTTCGATACCAAGGCATTCTATCGTTGGATGTCCTTCCCCAACATCGTCACGGACGTTGTCATGCTGGTCCTGCCTCTCCCCATGGTCTATCGGTTGCACACCTCGTGCCATCAGAAGATTGGGCTCGGGATCATATTTGCGACTGGCGGAATGTAAGTACATAGTCCCTTGTTATGCCTTTGCAGCATCGTACAGTCGATGCTTACCGTTGACTCGGGGGCTAATCTGCCATTCAAACTTCGCTTTCTTAGAGGCCTTATTACCTCCTGCTGCCGGTTTGCGATATTTTACAGCGACACCGAACGTCGGGACGATACTTGGAAGGCGTCGTCTCTGCACATGTGGACTGAGATCGAGCCCGGGGTGTACTTCCTCGCTGCGTGCATGCCGTCCTTTCCACCCCTGATCCAGCTTCTCTGGACTCGGTTCGTCAGGTCCAAGAGAGGTTCAAGTCAGACGTATCCCTCCGGCAACAACAAAATCGCCCTCTACACCATCGGAGGAAGTGCCCGGCTCCAGGATTCTGTCCCTCTTACCCCGTCCAACACTCATGAGGATTTCCCTCCCTTGAGCGACGATGAAGAGGCAGCCCGTAAGCCTGCGATCCCGGACTACGACGATGGTGGGTTCCGGCATAGTGTCGCGTACGCTGATCTGGCTGGCATCGAGGCCGCTCGGACTGGGAGTCCACGTACTCTTAGAGAAATATGGCCTCCCAGGAGAATCCGAATCAGGGAGACAGTCAGCGTTCGACATGACGGGTTTGGCACGCTGGACAGTACCTGAAACGTCTCAGACGGCTCCAGTCGGTCATGGTTTGAGACCAGGCGGAAAGTGCCTTAATAATGGGGGAATCTAGCTGAAAAGTGAGAAGTGGGGGAAAGGGAGGAGTGGATAATCAGAAGGAGGAGTTCAAAAAGCGATGTGGCAATCAGTGTATCTTCATGTATTTACACTTGAAGGTTGTGATTCAGATGATGTACATCAGTGCAGACAAAAGATGACTTGTTCATGCGTGACTGGGATGCCTGGTCGTTGCATGCAATGGTTCAAAGCACGTTTCAGTAAGAGGAAACTTCATCCTACTGGGCTGCCCTGCTGCCTGAGGCCCAATCCACTGGTTCCCTACGAGGCAACCACCATAACCATCCATCCATCCATCCGTGATTCATCCATCAACTCGAAAAGACGCTTCCTTTTCTCCCTCGACCACTGTCACAATTCTGCCCGGCACTTGACCGATCCTGCGGGCTTCCATTGCCTGGCTCACATTTAATTACCAGGTGCGGTGCTGCTTACAGGAGAATCGAGCCCCTGGCCGAAGACTTCGAATTTCAGAACACGGCCATGACTCCTCTCATACCTGACGATCTTCTTTTCGAACCCCCTCTTCCATCCACCAAAGCTTGTCAAATCAACACCTTCGAGTCGGATGTCTCGTCTCGCATGGCAACTCGTACACTACCGTCGTGTAGTGTTCAATCCGTTCATTACCTAGTTGAACTCAAAATACGTACAGTACTTCCTATTAACGCCGTCACGCCATCGGCTGAACAAACCGAACACCCAGGCACCTGCATAGAGACAGTGCGGATATTGAGTGTGGAGTATGACAGCTCTCACGGGCACCCCCGAAAAGGGTAGATATCGGCAGGGGTTCATGGACCGTGTCCTCGGATCGGTGCAGTGGCGGCATCCCTTGCGGGATCCAGACCCTGGCTGAACACTTGCATGGAACACCAGCAACAGACATTCCAGATTCGGTCAGGGGTAAACCATCCAAACCACTCGCAAAAGGCTAAGTCGATGATCATGGCAGGATCATTGACTTGTTTGGATAGGTCAGATCGGGATCGATGGCCTCGAACATGGGACCTGTCAAATATGCCAGGGGAATGCGAGCATCGAGGAGTTCGTCCCAGCAAGAGCATGGACTCTGCATCTGGAGGACCAATGCACATCCCCCTATTCTCCACTGCAATGGCAGATCATGATCACTGCTCCTGGTCATGAGCACACGATAGCCTTCGCTAATTCACGCAGAGTAGATCCATCATACATGTCACAGTTGAGCCCAACCCGAGCTACCTCATGGAAAGAAACGTATAAAGTCGCCGTCAAATCCACAGCAACCATCTCTTTCTCATCAGCATCAAGCCAGCTTCTCCTTTCACTCCTTTCTACCCACCTCAATCGCTCACCTCAATCTCCAACTCTTCAAGATGAAGACCTCCGCTCTTTTGTCTCTCCTCGCCGCTGCTGGCATGGTTGCTGCTGCTCCTCTGAATAGTATGTAAACCGCCATACCACCATCACCGCATACTTTCTAGGACTGAGAAACTGACGGTCGTGAAGACATCCCCGCAATCCCTGGCGCCCTTGCCGATGGCGTCAAGACCCCCGACACCCACAGCAGCCTTCCCGACACCCACAGCAGCGTTCCTGACACCCACGCCAGCCTTCCCGACGCCCATAGCAGCGTCCCCGACGGGGCACAAATCGTCAACGCCCCAGCGGCCAAGGTCCCTGCCGCCAATGTCCCCGCGGCCAAGGTTCCCGAGGTTGGTCATGCCGCAAGCCGCCGTGGCGCGCCCGTCAACATCGGCGGCGTGTCCGGCGACCATGATATCGACGGCGACAACAACATGATCGCCTACCCTCCCGCCCAGAAGCATGCTCCCGCTCCGGCCCCGGCTCCTGCTCCTGCTCCCGCCCCGGCCCC